CCTCATCAGCGCTCCATCAGCCAACACCTCTCTCACTCTTTCTCTCTTCCTTTATGCTTTCCCTCTCTCCATGTCCCCTTCATTATTTCTCTCTCTTCTTCACTCCTTTTCTCTCTCTCGGTCCCCCATTTCTTTTTCTCTCCACCTCTCTCCCTCCCTCTCTCCTCCCCCGTCTCTCTCTCCCTCTGTCACTGTCTGCTTCCTTCTCTCGTTCTCTCACTGTCTCTCTCATCCGTTCTGCCACCCCAGAGAGGGACATACTCACAGAAATATTGTCAGAAAATAAATACTGATGATGATATTCAGACTATATTATAGCAGTCCATCAGAAATCTTTTAAAATGTGTCTGGAAATGTTGTGGTTGACATTCACATCACTCAAAACATGAATGGACTATAAAATTAACCACAGAAATGCAGAAATATGACTATTCTCTTATTGAATGGGCCCATATTACACTATTTTCTGATCTATGTTATAACGTTGTCTCCTTGCCAAAAACAGACCTGGTGTTGTGTTTTGTTTCATTCACACATGTTTAACATGGAAATCTGAATATTAAGGCTGAGTTCTTCTCTCAAAAAGAAAACGTTCTGTTCCACTTTGTGATGTCATGGGGTAATATAGGAAGTGCTTCACTGAGTTTTTAAACTCCATACACTTACACTAGAATAATTTAGATAACTTCAGACCTTACCAATATCTACTGAAGAGAAGGTAAAAGGTAGTTGTTAACTTAAAAACTACCGCTTCGTGACATCACAAGGTGGAAAGTAGCATTTTGAGTTCTGAGATGTAGACAGACTAATAACAGACTTAATTATACATGTTTGAATGAAACAAAACACAACCGCATGTATGTTTTTGAGGAGGTAACAATATTCTAAAATGACTTAACGCTCCCAAGAGTCCATTTTTGAGTAATGTAGGACCTTTAAAAGATTAGATTCCTCAATAATACTGTATTTTTTCATACTAACAAAACAATATTTATATTCCCTTTCTTCTCTACAAGTTATTTATTTTTATTTTTTTAACTAGTTGAATGACTAGTGTCTTGGGTGAGTTAGTGTGCATATTTTGAAGGGCATAGATACATAGATACAAAATACAGTATTTCTTACTTTACCTCCATTTCTATTGCCTTTTCTGCTAGACACGAAACAACTGGAAAAGTCACATTTAAGTAAACACTGATTCATCTTAATTTACTTCTGCATTGCTAAATTGAAAACAAATTAGTAGATGAGAGCTATGTTTTGATAAGATTTGCTTTTGGAGGATGGCCTGCTGCTTGTAAAGCCATTACAAACCAGTCTGAATGAATCATTGAAAGTGACAGCGCTGTGCAGAGCTGTCAGTCTCCCCGTGTAGAGCTCAGAGCAACATGAAGCTGTTCACTGATAACGCATAGTTCAAAATACTATTGAGTGCATAGATAATTCTTTATTTTAACTGTAAAATTATAATTCACCACATATTTTACATGTTTTAAGACAAACATTCAAAATATTTTGACAGTGCTGCTAATGTAACCTTTGATCAGTTTAAAGTGTAAATTAAACTGCTACTTGCAGACTGTCAGGTTATTTTGAGTTGGACAGCCTTATACATTTAAATCTTAAGATTTCTTTACATTTCTGTGTAGCACAGGCTTTGTGTGTGATGCTGCTCCTGGAGTCCCGATAATCCTTTACCCCCATCTAGTGTCTGTCTGTCAGGTCAGTCTCCATTGTTACAGCCATTCACAAAAACGATACAGCCAAAGAATCTCAACTACTTCTATAAAAGTGCAACATCCATACAAGTTGACAATTAATGTGTAGTATTTTATTTACATATTTCATTGTCTTGCAGTGCTTGTTTATCGAGATGATTCTCAGTTAAACATTATAATACCAAAAAAGTTTTACGGTGTCTTTATTATTTTAAAATGGCTACACAACATTTTTGTATGACGCAGAGTGTGGAAATAGGGGGTAAGTGAAAACAGATTTTCTAAGATCTTTATGACAATACAGCATTACATGCTCAAATCGATCTAAAAGTAACTCTGAGTCAGCCAACAATGAGGGAAAACTATTATAACTAGTTTAAATCAATTTTGTATAATGCATCTAAGCTGAAAGAAAATAAATTCTAAACAGAATTATGCAGTGTAATTAAAGCATATTATCATTCATTATAACATGTATTTACTCTGTAATTCAAAGTTACAGTATGACTTAGATGAGTCACTGACACGTTTTAAATTGCCTCGCCTGGAAGAATAAACAGGATCACCGTCAAACAATACGTGTGAAAAAAGGGCCCTAAGTATTTGCATACTGCAGCAGCAGCTCCGGCAGCAGCAGGTAATCTGACTGTATGTTATGTAATGTGTATAGAGTTACATGTGGTTTTGAGTGTAACAGATCTGAGCTGGTGTGCGTCATCTGGCCCACAGCCTTCTGCACCTTTACAGCTCAATGGGACCTGGGCCAATAACGTACAGATGTATGCACACAAGGGGCTAAGGCTGTGGTGCAACTGCAGTCATAAAGGACAGGCTGAAGTTTTAATACAAGAGCTAAACCAGAGCAGTGTGTTAAAACCATGGTCTGACCGGTCTGTTAAGTTTAAATACAGAGCAATAGTAAACATCCTCCTCTATGTTTTTAGAAGTGTTTTAGGGTGGGTTTTGGTAGTGCAGGTCTCAAAGTGGAACTGCTATTATTTTACTGAAAGGTAAAGCAAGTCAACTTAAATAGGGCATTTTTTAAAATATAAAAAGTACTGGGGCTGTAGGGCTGCTAAATATATTGCAATCAACTCTAGATCACAATTTTCAGTGGTGCAATATCACCAAAACAGCAGTTATGTGGGTAATAAAATGCTCTCTTTATTGTGAAAAAGGACAATATGGGAAAAAAGTTTACCTTTAGACCTTGAAATCTTGAAGTTCATGCTCCTGGATGTGTTTAAAAAATGCATCATGAACAGGAACATTATAAATATGGCAGAAAAAAATTAGAAAAAAATCTATTACTGCAATTCTGATTTCATTGTGATTGTATTTACAATAATGTGCATGCCAGTTTTGAGAGAAGACTGAAATATATACTGATAAATTAATACAAGAATCCTATGCAGATAAGATTTATAAAAGTCTAAAATAACAGGCTCAGTGGTTTTATACAAAAAATCTGATTTGCTAATTGCACTCATTATAGTGCCTGCAAGACGACTCATATTTTGAGTCAACAAGTACAAGGCAAAAATGACTTAAGCCATCATAGTATTTATCATATCTTGATACATACATTTTATGGTTTGAAGGATCTTGTACATGCGCACAGGACTAGAAAAACAGATTTTGCTTATACATGCATGTTCACAACTTTACAAGGATCATTTCTTATCTACTGTCAGTGAACAAATACAGATCTAGATTTTCCCCTCAAACAATAGCTTTCATAATATACTAAAGTACTGTAACAAGTAAGTTACAGACACGACATTGTTGTGGACTTTAAATGGTCATTAAAATTGCTATTGCTGAAGAACTGCCACTGCTAATTCAGAAGAGATACACACTCCTGCTCTCGATCTGTATCTAGTTTCTGGTCTAATCTTTCTTTGGCCTCAGTGTGGACACATGAGAGTATTACAAGTATCTCATTCACACAGATCAGCAAAGGTGACAAAAGAGCCATTTAAAGTAAAGAATGTGCTGGGCACATCATCATGCAAAGTGGCATTATTACAGAATGAGATCATCAATTTTAACCAACACTACTATAGGCTTTTGGCAATATAGATATTTCTGTTTCTATTCTTTGATTTGAGTTGTTTTGCTTGGTTGTTTGGACAGATCTATAGTAGTGGCTATACCAGGAAAATGGGACTACAAATGGGCTAGTTATAACAGAAACACTAGATGAACCCAAATGAAGACAGAAATCTAAATTAAACAAATATTTGAACACCAGAGGAATCCAACTACCATAACTGAGAACCACCGATCTAAAAGCTTTACAAAATCACATCTTCAGGGCTTGGAACAAGCACAAGTATCTCAATCAAGCTTCGTACGGTAGTATGAATTCAATTGTATTACTTGTGGCATTATCTTACAGTTTTAGATTCACTTGTTTTGCTAGCTGTATCTTCTGTTGTGTATGTGGTAGATTCTATGTAGTGCTGAGTGTTGATTGTGACAGTCTGGAGGGGGGCAGTCTGTGGGAGTGTGCCCCCTGAGCAGGCACAGATGCTGGGCACAGTCAGAGATGGAAGTGCTTGGTCCTTCTTCTGTACGAGCCAAAGGGAAACACGTATTTGGGCGTGGGCTCAAAAGACACAGAGCCATGACAGTAATGCAAACAGGGCACATCTTAATATAAATGCATGATCAATGCCAGGTCATTATAATATCTGAATAATCATTACTGCACAGTTGCATCCTAAAAAACTGAGCACAAATATATTGAAATAATAGGCTCATGAAAAAAATGAGGTAATATTAACTTATTATTGAATGGAAACAAAAGTAAAATAGATGTGTCTATGTGATAAAGTGATTATCTCAGTTCTATCTATCTATCTATATCTATATCTATATCTATATATATCTATATATATATATATATATATATATATATAGATAGATAGATAGATAGATAGATAGATAGATAGATAGATAGATAGATAGATAGATAGATAGATAGATATAGTATGAAGTCTACAACGTGAAATGGCTCTGTAACACCAACTTAAATATGTGATGCCAATGACTGCTCTCTATAATTTTTTTTTATTTGAGATTATAAAATCAATCTCATCCACAGGTATAACGACTTAAAAGGTCAAAGGTTAAGTCTCCCTGATCCAGTCTGCCACGGTGTTTTCTGACAGCTTCCATGGTTCACTTGGTTACAACTTGTTTATAGTATGTTCGCACTTTCTCCATGTCTCGTGTCTCCTCCACCGCCCTCAGTGTTCTGTGCAGTGTGTGCCTCACCTTGTAGGCTGCACCCGGGAGATTCCTCGAAGTCCTCCTCATCAGGACTTTTCCGTTTCTTCGACATTTGCCGCTCTCTGGAGGAATGACAGCTTTATCCACCGCTGAACCGATACGTGCTGATAACGCGAGACAACCCTCACCCAGCCGGATACAAGACACATGCAACAGTCTGAGGGAGGCGAGAAGAGGAAGGCGAGGGGAACGCAGAGCCGTTCATTCAGATAACCTTCTCTAAATGCCCTCTTTTTTGTCAATGGAGTGTGCGTCGCGAGCTCCGCAGTGAGTCCCGCCGTAATCTGGAAAGACGTGACAGTGCCAGAGCTTTATTTCTGTGACAGATGAGATATATTCGCAGCTGGGTGAGCGGATTAATGCAAGCCCGGTCGCGTGGACATTTACGCGCTCTGGACTCTTGCAACTTGTTGAGCGTCTCCTTTATCATTGAAAAAGTAGTCTTCGTCACTCGGTTTTCGTCATTTTTCAAGCAATTTAGATTTGCAGAGCCATATGAGGTGTTTGAATGGCAGTAGGCAACGTCAGAGTACAGGTCTAATCAGACACGTATGACGCACAGCCGACACGCCGGGAACTCTTGGGTATCTTCACGAGTATAGGCTAATGTAAACTGAGATAATCTGGACGTGCCCAGCCTGCGATATGTCCCGCTGTCAACAGTCACTCCAAACTGCACTTTAGTTAAATAGTGCTCTCTCTCAAAAGTGGTTGAATTTGTCCTTCTCCTACCTTGGTGTATAAGAGAAATCCCTCTGGTCGCGACCATCAACTACCCACAGCAGAGCAATCCATGCCAAGTTCAGCAGAAGTTTGAACAACGCGTTTCTCTTGCTTCACTCCAACAGCGCCAGGCATAAAGTACAGGCTTTGACACTTCTTGCGTAAAACCACCCACTCCGAGTGCCACAGTTGTAGCATAAATGGGACAAGCGCGCATTGTGTCCCGAGTAGCCGCCTTCTTTCATTTCAGCCTCTCGTACAGTGCGTCTGCAATCAAAGTGCTTTCAGTGAACGCAGGAGCAGCGATAAAAAGGCTAATGTTGCGTGTGTCACTATATGAGAAGACAATGACGACAGTGCAGTGGTTTGATGGCAGTTTCCCTCGGGTTAAAAACGGGTCTCAGTTGCAGAAACCCGAAAATCCCCCTCTCAGTAACAAAGGATTCTGGATACATTGTCAGATTATCCTCTTTGCTTTGGCACATTTGATTTTTCCTTTCGGGAAAGTGACAGACGCATGACACCAGTGGAGTTTCAGCCCCCTCCGCCTCACCTTTGTCCCTTTTCATGACTTCATTGGTTCATTTATTTATGAAGGCTCCGGGCCAGTGGATCAGATTCCTGCTACATCTGGTTTGCATTTCTATTCTAACATTTCCTCGTGTGCCATTTGGATGCAGGGCTGTAGCTTTGTCCCGCGCGCACTGTGCTCTCACAGATTGTGTATCACGTCCACGGCGGTTTCTTGCTCAGAGTTACACTTGCATTCATGTTAGTGACGCTGATGTTTCGTGGTATTTTCTGAAGGCAAACACGCCTCTCGTGCTCCCCCCTCCCTCGCGCTCATTCACTGCAGCTACTGACGTCAGGACACGCTTACGTCAATGCGCCCCGCTTTGACAGAGCTTTTTTCATTTGTATCATAATGGGATTATTAGGCTTAGAGAAATATCCTCCTGTAACGACTATTTAGTACAGTCTGAAATGGCACAATATAAAGTGCTTTCAAATGAGTTTTCGAATAGGTTACATATAGAATAGCTGTAACCTGGCCACTTAAAATGCAATGAATCCTCATCGCACGCCTTTACCTTATAGGCTCTGCAATTGATATAGACATGGGATCATAATGTTGAGTGTACTTGTTATTTATAGATATACATTTACAAAGCAATAACTACACTTTATCACAAATGCTACATTAATACTGTATTACACCACATTTACATTAAGAAAATGCTAAGTCTATTTGGTGATATTTTAGTAAAGTAATACATTGAGTGAACCATTGTATTTGGAAGGTAAAATAATCAAATTGCATGAACACAAACTAAATGGTAGTGTAGTGTATTAAGGAAATGCAAGTTTATCAGCTAATAAAGGCACATTTAACAAAAGGAATGTTTATAAAACCCTATGCATGTTACTAGATGCTGAGACAGTTTGGTGTGACAGTGGAAAGATGCTGTCTCTAAACTCATTTGTATTTGATGGAGAAGAAGCACGTGAGCTACTTCCTGTCACATTTCGCTGCTGCCTCTCAACCACATGGGTCCTTATGTCCTGACCTTGATCCTTTGAGCTCAATGGGCCCCTGTGGATGTAGCTGAACTCCCATTCACTTCACCGTACATCATGTCTGCATAGCCCAAAGGTCCTTTTGAGTTAGAACAAGAGAAAAAAAAAAGAAAAGATCACTTAATACAAAGTTGTTAACTTCACAAATCTAAAATGCAAATTATTGATTTCTACAGGTGCATTTGGTCAAACCCAGAAACAGAAAAGGGAAGACAAAAGAATTATTAAATCACCCAAAGCACCAAACATGATCCTTCATTTTATTTATAAAATAGGCATAATGACAAAAGCATCAGTTATTTATTACATTTTTAATTTGCCAACCAAATCACATTACTATTTACACTATAAATATTTTGGCTGAACATTTTGTAACACTGTTGGGCTGCTTAATATAAGCAGGTAAAGATTGTTTTCACAAATTCTTAAATAAAATTAAGGCACTTATTTTGTGTTTCAACAAAAACTGTGTTCTAATAAATTATTGCACACAAGCCTCTTTTAAACTGTCCCAAAAATTGTCAGATAGAAGGAGGTGTAACAGGGGTCCAAGCTGAGTGTATCCTGTGGGGAGACGTGTCATAGTGCACAGGATCATGCAGCTCTGTGGTGCTGCTGTCATACAGAGGGGAGCCAGAAGAGGGCACTGTCACCGAATGACAAAGGCCACTGTAGTTGGTGCTGGATCTCTGCAGAAACTGTGAGTTTAGACCATTGTTTCCTGTGTCAGACACTGGAACGAGGGCTGAATTAGTCACTGTCCACAAGCTGGGGTACTGCCTGTTTAGGAGGCAAAGAGGATAATATCAGTATTCATTGCACACATGAATTGACCATAATAGATTTAAAAATAATAATAATAACAATAATAATAATAATAATAGAGAATTTATAGGCAGTATATAAATATAACGATTAGAATCAAGAAGCAAACCAATAATATTAAATAATGCAATACATACGTCGAGTTTGCAGTAGAAGTTGAATTGTGGCTCATGGGCACCATTGGGGAGTGTGTGGGCATCTGTAAACTGGACCAGTTGTCATGGCTGGGCAGCATCGGCAGACAGGAAGAGTTGTCCGTGTAACTAGCTACAAAAACAGAAAAGCAATTAGCTTTTTAGAGCATTTAGATCTAAATATATTTATATGTGGAAATTTGGTGAATGTTACTATTTGTATTTTCCATCAGTGGCTCTTAAAAGTGTCTATACATTCCTTGTCTAAAACATTTATTGCTTAGAGTCTCCAGCCACACAAAAGCCAGAGGAATTTAAAACATGTGTAGGTCTGTGACACTTGTTTGCTCTTCTTGTTAATAGCTCAAAAGGAAGTGGTGATGTTTGGACACTTACTAGGGGAGTTGGTCCTATGGGTGTATGGGCTTGGGTAAGGGGCCGATCTGTGGTTCCTGAGGGAAGAGTAGCGCTCACAGCCCTGTGATGGTGACAGTGAGATGGGGGTCCCATACTGACTGTGTGGGTTGCTGTTGGGGGGACAGAGGGACCCTGATCCAGGAATAAACCAACCACCTACACGACAAGAGGGGAAAATAATTATTATTTAATGAGAAATCATAACTGATGTGAATGAGATTAATTGAAAGTGTTAAAACACTTACATTGTGAATATGGCAACTGTTGGTTGTCGTGGATTTCTTCTTTAATGTCCTTTGTATCATTCCTGCAGAAACAAAAAAGTTCATAAGAGACATAATAGCCTAATAATAAAATCAATTAACAAATCTATCAAACGACAGTTAGAAATCCCCTTACCTCTCTTTAGCATCCAGAAAAGCCTTAGCGAAGGGGTTGTGTTTGATTTTGAGAGCAGTTATCTACAGCAGAAACAAAAAAAGAAAGTAAATGCTAAATAAGAGCTAAAATAATGTGGGTAAATACAAAACAGTGTGTGCGTAAAGTAGTCTACACATTATGCACGTCATTAAAATAATAATTCTGTCTTTTAATGCTGAGAGTTTGGCATCACAATGAATTAGACTGTTTACCTCTTCGTTTTGGTACGCAGTCACCGCAATGAACTGTGTTTCGGGGAAAGCATGACTTGTGATCATTCTCCTTGGGCCTCCAACCCGAACGATATGGATGCGTGGCTCGTACTTGTGCAGTGAGTTTAGCATAATCTGAACAGTAAATAATATTTCATAATTAGTGTCATGGATGTATTGGACTGAATAAAAAACATAGCATTTTCTTTTGTCCATACCTGTCCACCACCGTTGAGTTTATTAGTTAGTTTGACTTTACTAAAAGACACCGGTGCTTTCATCCAGTGCGCACCGAAGTTTGGTGAATCCGGATGGATGTAAACGCAGCTTGGGGTTTGAGGTTCAGGTTTACCGCCCGGAACCCACTCTCCGTTCACGTACTTCCACCGGTGGTTGTCTGCAGAGGCGAAGTCCAGCAGAAAGGAGTACATTGCGTTTGGGTCCAATCCGGAAACGTTGACTTTGAGGACTGGAAACATGCGCCTAAAATAACAAGATAACTTGAGGCGATGCACTAATTGAGTTTAATTCAGTCAGAAGTTTTAGTCTTACCTCCCATTCTTTGTGACAATCATTTCATTTGTAAGGTCCTTAAACTTGTGCCAAAGTTCGTTGTCGTCCAGTGATACTTTGAGGTCTTGCTCAGTGGGGTCGCCTTTCTCACTGCCCGCTTGAAGCTCAGTCTCCACGGCGCTGAGGAGATGGTCAACCCGGTATTGACTCATTTTGACTGGGCACTCGCCGCCTCCCGACGTCATTGTATCCAACAAACCCAAGGTTAAAACGCAAGGTGGATGTGTTCAGGTCGTGATCAATGGTAATCCAAACTGTATCTAACGGTGTTTAAAGCTCCACAGATTTATACAGGCCCCTTGGCTGGAGATGGCCCCAGAGGACAAACCTGATTGGTCTATCTACCCTTTGATCTTTGCGGTCTTCTCTGTGATTGGTCAAGGGGGGTGCTGTCAACAGGATGAGTGCGTTTTGAATAAAGTCCGAGTTTATTGCATGAACCTGTAAAGAATGACACTTAGATCAAAGCCACACCTGCAGAAAGTAAAGCACCGGCCGCAGACTGAGCGTCTCAGGCCCGGGCACAGGACGCCACGGATCCGGATTTGAGCCTGACTTTGATAAATTGAGGATTAAGATTACATGGTTCAATTTGAGATAACGTGAAACATTTACATCCTAATCTATACAAGAGAAAGTTACAGATCTTATCTAAGCACCATCAGCAAATAAAGACAGACTCTTCAGGTCATGTGAAAAAGTACAAGTAAAGTTATTTTAAATAGTTTATTTTATTTGTATCTTCCAAGATAAAAATAAAAATAGGTTTATAAATAACCAGGCATATGTTATCATAATTATGGTACATGTTTCATAACATGACTACTACCACAAGTTTATCAAACATCATTTAAACTAGATTTTAAATGGTTTTGCATATTATAAAAGCCTATGAATGCACAATATTTACTAACATAAATAACTGTTACAAAAAACTGTTACTAACATAACAGTATAAGAGATTGAAATATTTCAGAGACATAAACAATATGTACAATACAAATAATTGTTTGAAATATACTGATTTTGTGAGTCTTAATTATTCTGACACTACAGTGTAATTTTTCCATAACTTCAATCCACAGCCAATGACCTAAAAGGGGACAAATGTTAAATAACAATCCATTATGAGTCAAACAAACTGAGATAACTTTAAAATGAGTAACTTCACCTTCACATGCTTCTGTCCATATAAATCTTTAAAACATAATGGCACAGGTGATGTGCTGTGGAGCTCGGCACTGTCCAAAAGTTCTGACTCCAAAGACTGAACTCTGCCAAGAAACACCCACACACTGGTCACTTAAGGATAATTTCTGCCAACTTAATAATACAGCACACTTAATTATTTTTTCTTACTTCTCTTCCACTTGATCAAACTTGTCTTGTGCAGATGGAGGTGGGTTGCTGTGAACATTTAGTTGTTGACTGATAGTGGGTGATTGTGCTGACTTCTTATGTGAGTCAATATCTGGAAGTGTCTACAGAGAAGGAGAAATTGATTTACATTGGGACATATTATCACTGCAAAGTCACACTTGAGTAATAAGTACTGCTTCAAGTTCTATTTGGCACAAAGTGTCACCATGACTACTTCCCCCCATAAAAACAATCATATTAATATCATAAAAAGCTTTTGTGGCCATAGAGCTGTCTGCTTTTGTTCATGTCACCAACCAAATCAGGGATCTTTTGGTTTTCCCCCTCGAGCCAAGATTCAGAGTCCATCTTTCGGTCCAACAGTCTGCAGCAAAGTTCACAGCAAACAGAGAGAAATAAATCACTTTGAAGAGCTTTGGGACACAAGTCTGACCCATGTTCAAACATTACTGGAAACTACCACTGGTGGACAGACACAAGGCACTTTCATTCTAGCAATTTAAATGGACAAAATGAATAGGTTCACATTGTAGAATAGGATGAAGCCTATAATTGGAGGGCAGGGGTCTCTATACTCTGGGAGACTCATGGTTCTGTCTTTTCAACTAACAAGAATCATAAATTTGTGTTACAATAATGTCACCACTTTTTGAGGCAGTGCTGGAAAAAAAATCCTTAGTTTGACAATGAACTTTAGATGAGTTTGTATTGTGTGTTTTTGTTTCATGTGGATAGGCCCAGTAATTATACAGCTATTAACCAAAGGTTGTATCAACCTATTAAATTATTTTGCTTAACCTTGTGAGTAATAGCTATACCGTAGTAGTAACAATGATAGCAGAAGTAGTTCTAAGAGTGACGGAAGTACCACTCTCAGAAGTAAATTTGAATGGTGATTGTAGCAGCAAAACATTTTAATCCCAATTTTATGTAGTGAGCCTATGTTTAATATCATTTTAAAGTAACAATTTTACAGAAGAATGTACCACACTTATGGAAACTGCAATACTCACTTGAAACTCTGTGAAAACTTCATATTGGTCAAACAGAGTGCATGCATATCCTTTACTTGCTTCAAGTACATATCAGCCTTCCTGCTTTTCTTGGGAATTTCAAAAGATATCTGTAAGAGAAAGAGAAAAGAATACTTAATTTGTATTTTGTATTTTTCTCTTAAGTTACAATGTAAAATTAATCCTTGGATGAAAAATATAGTATGAAATGACCTACCAATTTTGGCAGTGTGCACTGGAAACTCCTCATAAAGTTTGGCTGAAGAGTTACAAATGTGGGCATTTTCTTCTGCAAATAACAGAGGCACCCACAATTATTAGAATAAGTGAGGTACTGTAGGTCTCAAGGAATTTAAGTAATATGTTTGATTGTAAAAGTAGTCAAATAATAGAATAATAGTAGTACACAAAGCAATGACAACAGTGTTAGCAGTATTGATAGTAGAGCCTGTATTTATTTATTTATTGAATGAGGGAAGTGAAAGTAATAGCATCCATTTTCAGTAGTGCTGTTGCAAAAAATATATTATACTGATATACACTGGTTTTGTTGTTCAGGTTTTTTGTTCAAGTATTATTTCTACACAAACATGACTAATATTGTACTCTGACAGTGAGTGAGTTTTTGACACTCAATAATCATTTGCTTATAGTCCATGATACACTATATTATTTAAAGAGGCAGGTTCCTCTGTAGTTCATCTGTATATGAGTTGAGCACCGGGCCACGTAAAAGTCGAGGTGTCGCTCCCAGTGTCATTTCCCACAGTTGTTGTGTCCCATTTGGCGCCTGGCTCTCCCCCTGTCACACCCTCAGTGTGAGCCTCTCACTATAGCCCACTTCCTGGTCCAATCCACAGCTATGAGAATTTGTGCTCTTCTATATGGTGGTATACAGTCACTTCATCCTGTCTTCTTACAAACGCAAGTGCAAACCCAATACATTTTAAGAGGAACCACTGAAGTCAGTAAGCACCAATACCACTGTTGCTGTATGCTAGTTTATGACTGCATTAAATGTATTTTTACATACTGTATGGAGATGGACAGAAAGTCTTTATGTCTAAATTACATAGCCTCTTTTCAGCACAGAAACCCCCTTTCACACAATTTCAGTTGATTCATTTGTGTTTTGGGGATTTACATTTATTTTAATTAATTTTTTTTCTCTGTCAGTAGTCAAAGTGAAAGCTCCATTGCTGTGAAATGTAATTTCATTTACATTTTTTAAAAATAATATTCTCAAAAAATACATTCAGTATGAGAAATCAACTGCATTCAGTACTATTATCTTCTTGGCATGAATATAGTATTTACTTTTCTGGGGCCTCAAATTATCTGTCGTGAAATTAAAGTCTTGCAAATTAAATTAGGGGTCTTTGTTCATTAAAATAAACTAACCCTTTAATATTTGCCTAAATCCTAAATATTGTGTGATCCTCATGTAAACTGAGATACGAACAGACAATATCAATCTCTTCTCGCTTTGACTTTTCTGGTGTCTGAGTGTTGTCAGGGCACTTGAGTAACGGCTGTTCATGCCTCAGTCCGTCCCTGTCTGACCAGTGTTTGCCTTCCCTGTGCCCCTCCAGCCAAACTCAGGCCCTGTTTGCACAGGTCCATTCTGACACAGGGGTGAGACAAAAATGAGTGCATACTGGTCAGAGTACAGGCATCTCAGCATAACATCATCTCCGGTGTGGTCACTATAATATTAGAAAAACAGTAAGCAGTTATAATGATATACATTGAATGGCTGTATCGCTGTATCAGACTGTTGTGGTGAAGAAGGAAACTGAGTTGAACGACAAAGCTCTTGATTTACCGGTTAGTCTATGTTCCTCCCCTCACCTATGGTCATGGGTTTGGGTAATGACAAATTACAAAGGACAAGATCATGGGCACAGGTGGGCAAAATGGGTTTCCTCCATAGGGTGGATGTGGCTCTCCCTTAGAGATAGGGTGAGAAGCTCAGTCACACGAGAGGAACTCGGAGTAGAGCCGCTGCTCCTCCACGTGGTGAGGAGCCAGCTGAGGTGACTCAGGTATCTATTGGATGTCTCCTGGATGCCTCCCTGGGGAGGTGTTCATGCCTCATAGGAAGAAGGCCCTGGGGAAGACCCAGGACCCACTGGAGGGACTATGTCTCTCAACTGGCCTGGGAACATCTTGGGATCCCCCCAGAAGAGCTAGAGGAAGTGTGTGTGGAGAGGGAAGTCTGGACATTCCTGCTCAGGCTGCTGCCTCCACAACCCGACCACAGATAAAGTGGAAGAAAACAGATGGACATTGCATGGATAAGAAAATCTGTGTAAAATAAACTTATCCTATATTTAAATATGCATTGATTTTACTTAGCAAGATATGTCTATACATTTACTGTAAATGCAAAGGGACTTTTAGGTGAGGCATACACACAAAATTATATAATACATGAAAAATCTGAAAAACTTATTTTAAAGTTGATGTCTTGGTATGTAAGACTCGTTCTAAAATCCTGTGTGTTGGTTTGTGGGTAGCTAATGGGTCAGAGCTCCAGGTGTATTGACTCTCTTGTTAAGTGGGATTACTGCTCCTGTGGTTTTGACACTAACCTTAGGAAACAATTGCTCAAATTCATCCTTTTCCAAACTATCTTCAAAAATCTCTTCTGACACACGCTGGCATGATTCAGATCCTCTCTCTGTCAACCTGAACACAGAGACAAAAACACAAATATATTTAAATCTGTTACTTTGCATCTCACAAATAAGACTGGCCAGTTGAAACCATTGTCAAAGTAGAATGGGCATATCACTGCCATGAGAATGCACTTCAAAGAGGCCTGTTTCAGCTGCAGCACTGTCTTGCTTAAAAGTGCACTATGTAAACTGTCTGGTGGGGCTTATCTCCATGGAGACAGGTAAGTTTAATGTCATACAGAGGAACAATCTAGGCAAAGCAATGATAACTGGAGACAGGCAGGTGGCAAATCACCCACCATAAAAGATGGTGCACATTTAAGAGAAACAACATATGAATACATGTTTGAAAATACTTTGTATATCTAGAGCAAAGTGCTTCTTCTTCGGAATATTAGCACAGATTGTTCACAGCACTATGTCCATTATATTCCCATGCCTTACTTCCGGGAGCGTTTTGTGCAGCTCGTAGCTTTTGTATAGATCTGTGAGGAGCTGCACTGAGTTGTGAGTCCACACTGGAGCCCGTTGGCACCCAGCAGACGAAGTGTGCTGTCACCCGGGTGCGCAGCGTTATTGGGTGTGAGGTGCACCATGCCTTGGCTCTGGTCCTGAGAAGTGGCACGCTATTAAGAATATATTAACAAGATGACATTACGTACACATCACAGCAATAATCACCCAAAGCTGCCAGGAGTAATGTTTTGACGAGTTTTAGAGGTGTTGTTATCACTTTGGCAAAGAAGTTATGCTTCTGCATTTTGTGAATACCATGAATGCATAAAAGTAAGGAATTTTATTTTTATATAGATATGAATGGGTGACTGAGGTTCAGGAATTCAGTGCCAAAACCAACTTTATATTTTGTAGAAATTCAAAATGTATGTATTGTAATCAACTTTATTTAAATTCAAAATTATATTATAGACCCAAAAATGTTCTATGTAGAAGCTGAAATGTTATTAGTATAGTACTTCTTAAACATCTTAACCACCTAGACTGAATGTGCATCCTGTACAATAAACAAACACTAATAAAGATAATATGCTTGGTTCTAATATTAGAAACCTGTAATGCATAAGTGTTAAATTCAACATGAAGGTGAGACCATGACTAGATGACCACAAAGATAGAAAACCACCCTTCCAGCTGTCCCATAATTCAAAGTAGTTAATAATAACAAACATATTACAAACAACAAATCAGGACAGATGGGAGATTTAACTCATTACAAAAGTATATTTCCAGTCCATAGCTGCAGCTCTAATTGCTTTTATTTTGAGTATTTCGCATAGACCTGGGGAATGTGCGAATGGCCCAGGTTGCGGGTGGGGCTGCGCGGGTCGCCGTGGAGATGTTTGCGCGTTAGAGTGGTGAGATTTCACACTGGAGGAAGAGTTGTCAGCGAGCACTCTGCCAGGCTTCTTATGGACCTCCTAATGTGGCAGAGGGACAGTGGCGAACGTTATACATGCAGGTATTAAATAGGAGTCAGGACCAACTGCCAACAAGAGGGGACAGTGCACACACTGTTCACAACATGAGCAGAAACAGGACTATACTCTGATGATCACTGGAGTGCCTGTTTATAAACACTGTATCCATGGGTTTAGGAATGATGACAAATTAGGACTGTTGCCGTAGTAATTAACAATACTTTTCAATGGTGAAAAGTCCTCAGTCTTATTTGGGCACATGATGCCAGGATGGGTAACTCATTTTTATAAAATATTTTTGTCATTTAGATGGAGAGTGTTGGTGTGGTTGTTTTTTTATATTTTATATATTATTTTATGTGAGATTGTGAATAAGTTAAATAAACAAATTATGACCAAAAAAGCTCCTCAAAATGTCACTCAAAACAGGAAGCTGAAACCCATGAATATAGACATGATTAAGGTCTTAGTTCTCATTTCATACAGTAGATTTAATAATATAAGTTGATTATACTGGAATTATGACCCTACTTTTATAAAATATATATTTTAAAAAGGTAATTTAATGCATAAGAGCTTTTTGTTCTTTCCATTTTGTCCAGAAATTCACAAAAAGTGATTGAACTTCCTGACCAACTCCGTGATAAAGTTGGTACAGGGGCAAACATAAAAACAATAAACATGGATCATAGGAAAACTAAAGGCTCCACAGTTGCTATCCAGGTTGACCAAACAATCACGAGTTTGCCTCAAAGTCTGTAAACCCTTAAAAGAGGAGAGACTTCAAAGATGTGCTTACGAAGCTGGCATGAAGTGACACCACCAGCCCAATTGCTACATGTCTTTCTGTAAAGGCCATAATTACTGCATTTTCCCCTGGACGATGTTTGAGCCCCATCAGAAGCAGTGGGTTTCTTTAACAAAGGGAGGAGTCAAGTGTGTGTTTGGTGGTCTCACTGCGGTGTGAGAGTATCAGGGGTAATCTTTCCTTCAGGAGGGTCCCGACTAAACAAGGCTCCAGTGTTTGCACCAAGAGGCAGAGCAAATAGAGGTACACCAGAGCCACTGCAGCTGCCTTACCACTCACAAAACACACTCTGCTATCAAGTGTGTTCAGGGAAAGACAAGAAGACATACTGAAATTGTAATTTATCAAAGAATCAAAGAATTGCGGGCCCATTTTTGGTACTATGGAAAATTACCTTGAGTCGGATGCAGTGTCTGTGTCTTCAGTGCAGCGCTGTGATGATCCACTTGGTGTTGTAATAATAATTGCAGGTCTCTTGTCCAGCACTGTCAAACATCAAAATTTGAATTCTAAAAATATGTATGTACAACTTATTTTTATTTTTTATACCAAAACAAATTCTTGGGAAATGTGACTAGCTATATTGTTTGCCAATATGCCACTGATGCAGAACTGCTGTTGTTTGATGTTATTTTAGTTGCATAAGATATGTAAAAGTATTCCAGATGCCAGACAGAAGGATCCTATTATTATGATGACAAAGGTTTTTGGTATGTTAAAAATAATGAAAAACTAAATCAGTAGTTGCTTATACACTTAACTTTTCATCTTGATGTCTGTTAGACTTCTCTGTAGTGTTGAAGGATGTCTGTTATATTGAATACTTTTGTAAAAATCCTCTAACTGGTGCTGAGTTTGCAGATGCCCATGTTGAACCAACTCATTTTGAAGTTCAAAGATCTGCATAAGACAACATTATTTGATTTTTACATTTCAATTAGTGTAAGGTTACATTGACTTTGACATACCAGATAGTAACTCGTTTTGGGAATATCTTTGAGGTATAGGTTATCATGCTTCAGTTTGGAGAAGGCTGCCTTGTGTTTTTTCTATTGGAAAACACAAAGTGAGTGAGTGGTGGGAATTCATGTTTAAAGTTAGACTCCCTTGTTTGAGAGGCTGGGAAAGAGAGCACACAGAACAAATGAGAAGTAAACACGCAGCCACAGGAAGCCATTAACTGCAGCACGGACCAATTAGGCCTCAGCAGGTGTCCTGGGACAGTCCTGCTTTGGTCCCCATCGTCTGAGGCTCTGCTCCTCCGTTCCAGTCGAGGAAACTGCAATTTAAGGTAAAGGATTTCTATGCATGGGTCTCTAAGAAGTGTCTTTATTGTTCTGTCTTTGTCTAAAGTTCCCCAAGTACAAGTCATTAGTGAGGACAATTGCACCCCCCTGAAGTAAGTGGGCTTTTTACAGAGGAGGAAGATAAGACAGGATCTCTGCCACGTCTCGGACCCCCTCTATGGCTTATTGCTCTTTTCACACCCCTGTCACAAACGCAGACAGTCAAAATCAAAGTCAATCGTAAGGGGATACAGACAGCCCAGAATACACATGACCTGAAGTCCGCCACCAATGGAGCAGATTCTGTGAGAAATTCAAATACAAATACATAGTTCTGTTTTAAATTGTATCTTTATTATGTGATGTTTATGGTTATGATTATACAAGGTGGCTTTATTTTTCATGTAGATTTATTTCTTGTTTATTTTATTTATATAGACTTTAGGGACTTAATGGAGTTAATAAATTATCCTTTTGGCCTTTCCTTTCAAATTAAATCATAATTTTAAACATTTAAAAAAATGTATTAATACAAATATGAATGTATTTTTCTTTTTCTTTATATTATGGTGTTGTTGTTGTAGACCATCAATAGAATAGATGAACATAGCGAGACACACACAAACAAAAATAAATAAGTAAATAAATAATAAAAACATTTTTTTATATTCTAGGCTACAACTCTTCTGTTTTCTGTTTTGTGTATCCAGTTGTATAGACCTACTGTCACTGAATTAGGCTGTTAATTATGCAAATCACTCGCTTGCCGCTTCTTTTTAAGTGGCGCAATACGCAAAGCCAGACTGCCTTTGATATCACGCGGATGTGTATTGGAACCAGACGGAGAAGGCAGCGCACCCTGCGTCAGGATAAATTGCTAATTGAACAACATAGGAAACGGTGCATAAGCTCTCCAAACACAACAAACGCCAGTGCCCTTTCACATTTAAAAGTTTACCTGTTTGATACCATCGTTGGGGCTAGGGCGCGCTCTAACTCGTTCTTGCTGTCGCTGTCTTTGTGAATGGAGCTTGTCTGTGAGCAGGGAGCAGTAGCGGCGGTAGAGGTAATCCCTGAAGCGGTGCATGTCCCAGTACGTCTGTAGATGGCGCTGTGGGATCAAAGAAGCGGGTCACTGAAAAGATACTGCTTTTACACGAAATAGAATAAAATAGAAGAGCCTGTCTTTAATGTCTACCGAGGCAGAAATTCACATTTGGCTCTGCAGCACATAAACACAAACAACGGGACAATGACATCAGACATCAGCAACTATAAAGAGGCTACTCAACGGAGGGAGAGTTGATAAAATCACAGTGAAAAAGTACATTGTACATTAAAGTTGCACATTTTCAGACTGTATATGGAGACACAGTGGCGAGCACTGCCCCTGACAGTGACAGATTTGAAGTCTTGGAGGGTTTGCATGTTTGCATGTTCTCCCCTTAATTGCAAGCAGGGGCCCATGACACTAGTCACATAATGTCATATTACTTTAAAAATGTAACTATTTCAGTATATGTGGACTATGTAGGCTATATGTTGATGAGTTTCTCTTACAAAAAAGAACCTTTCCATTAATTTATTGAGGTCCTTCCTGTGTGTGATTAAGATCATGGTATACATATATACATAGATTTTATGCTTTACACCTGTTCTTGTTGAGCCCGAAGCCTGGCGTTTGTCTTCTGGTCTTCATCCTGGTTTGGGTTTTGCCCTGGACCAACAGGTGTCTTCCTCCTCTTGTCTCCTGCCTATCAACATTCACAGCCCAATATAGTCCGTCAACGTGGGAGTCAAACCTGCTGCAGCTTCCCTTAGGATTATAAAAAGAGAATGCATTTTTTGGTAATCCCTTTTTCTGAAAGCCAAGAAGAGTCCTCCCACACGACAGCCTGACAATGTGCTGTTAAAATAAGAAAGCATCTCAGAGGAGCGAGCCCACCTCAACCTCCTACAGATCTAGTCTTGATTTATAACATGTCTTTTACAAGCACATAGTTGCAACTATAGGTTATAGTATGTGTATAATATAGTATATATATGTATAATATATATATATATATATATATATATATATATATATATATATATATATATATATATATATATATATATATATATATATATATATATATATATATATATATAAAATACCGTCTTAATATTATTTTAAAGTTGACTGTGCTGAAATGGTAATAATTGGTTCAAAATCTTTTTCTATTATTTATTGATTTATTTTTTAATGTTTGTGCTTTTCTTTACTATTTGATTACATTACTTATTTTTTAACAAATCATTTATAGTTTCAAACTCCAAAAATATTCACAGATCATACTCAAAACTTGCAACCTGTTGAAAATTACACAATATTATTTTGGTATTAGAGACACTGGTGATCACCGTACTATTTAAACTTCAACTTGCCATCTCTGTTTGTTAGTGGTGCTCTGATCCACAGCCTGCATAGATCTGCTATTGGCCAGCACTGGCTCGAGTTAATCTGCTCTGATCAAGTGGTGGGATGAAGGAGCAGTAATGACACTGGGCAGATGTTGTGACGGGAAGTTTTGGGAACAGATTTTAGTGACATCACAGGCCGGATGTCGACTTGTTGTAAATAAAGAGGAGAGGATCAAAACAATGTAGCTCTAATCATGCAAGATGGAGAAAGCGCTTGACAGTGACAGGCATGCCAACAGGGATTAAGCATGAAAATTACACTTGGCATGGCATCGTGACATCTGGGTAATGATAATAGTGGGAAAGGTTTAGTAGTAATAGTAAAAGCGTTTAGTAGTAATAGTAAAAGCGGAAGTCTAGCCTTAACAGGTAGTAGAGGAGTAGTTCACCAAGTAACATATAAGAAAATATTTTAACTTACAAAAAACACAAGATCCATCCAAACCAGGTCTACAGCAGGACTATTGTAGGTGTAAATTAGGGCCAAACTAGGTCCCAAACTGGACTTTGCTACAGTATTTCTAAACAATAAAAGACATGCAGATAAAATGGCAACTGCAGAAAAAAACTTGTGTACCACAGTTCGAGAAACACTGGGATTTTAATGTCATTTAAATATTCAGTACATTAAAAATGATTCTACTCCATGTGATGCAGGTGACGTGTGGATAACAACAGATAAAGTTCGAACTAACAGAGAGGACCTGTCCTGGTTCAGTGACAGAGCAAATCTGTAAATATCAAGTATATAAATTAAGGATGTAACAATAACTGAAATATTGTGATATCGTATCGTCAAAGTTCTCACGATAATATCATGGACCATCACAATATATCTAATTACAAGTCTCTTTGCTTAAATTAAGAGTTATGGTGCAGCAATAGCTAAAAAGAACAGAGGGACCTACATAGACCATGATCCTTTGCTCCATTTCAGTGTAGACTACAAGAAGAAATAACAGCTCTAATCACTTTTAAGACTTAGTTCGTTGGGTTAAGCCTTGTCAAGGCATTTTAAGAAGAAAAAGTAGCATATTAACCATTTTTTTAGCCTCCACAGAATATTGCAATAAATATTGTACCGTGAAATGTATATCATGAAAATATCATACAGAAAGATTTGGATATTGTTACATCCCTCATGATGAGCCTCCCCACCATATCGTGAGCTTTCCCATGATATTGCAATAAATATCGTACCGTGAGGTTCATACTGTGACGATATAGTATCGTGAGACTTGGATATCGTTACACCCATAATATAAATCTCTATCTTTGATTCAGTTTCTTTGTTTACCTCTTCTGTTGAGCTCAAAATCCACACCACGCCAACATTGTGTAAGGAACTTTAAAAAGTTGTGTTGGTCTCTTACATAACACACTCACTAAAGCTTGTTGGATTGCATCAAGTATTGTACAAAAAAATGTGTCAGGGGAACCGGTGTCATGCCAAATGTATACAAACTTAAGGTATAGTTCATTGTGCCTTCAGTGAAATTTGACCCAGTGACATTGGAGCAGTGTGCAGTCATGGTGCAACATCCAGATTTTGATTTGAGCAGGTTTACCCAATTGGAGGATTAGTCTATGGTGCATGTTTTAATGATAAAAGTTACTGCATGTTACAAAGCAGATGATGTGATGACCCCACAAAAGGAAAAAGTTAGTGAAAACAGGTCCACTATTGTTTGAATATACATTTTAAAATGTTCTGTTCTTTGTGTATCACTTTGGAGACTTGTTGGTAAAATGTACTTAACAAATAAAGGTGGATTAGATAATACAATAGACGATTTATTGCCAAATGACATAAGTGTGATGATAAGTGTTAAATATTTCAGTTAGTCATCTTGTCATCTAAGCTGAAGAGTACAGCTTAGTCGTGTCTGCCATTATCCAGACAAGCTTAAAAATGCAAAACAAAACAAACAAGTTTCGCTTTAAATGGTCTCCTCGATATGTCACCCTGTCTTTGCCCCCTTCTGGGAAATGCCTCATTTCCTCTACACAATTACAGCAGGTTTATGGGCCGTGTGTCTTCAGGAAGCGTACACATTTTTACAAAAGACAGAGAATGCATCAGTCGTGTTACCACAGAGATATTGGCCGAGCGCAGTAAAGGGAACGGTCTGTCCCGGGACGGTATCAGTGACTGAGCAGATCTGTGTCCAACGACACTGTAAATCTGGACAGGACAAAACTGCTGTCTCACTGTGGGACGTCATTTTGGCTGGGACATTGTGAGGAGGTGGACCAGAGTCTGGAGCTATAATGAAAGGAGCTAAAGGGATAGTTCTTATTTATTTGAATGGCAACATGATAATAATGCAGTAAAAGCAACATGTTTTTGAAATCAACTTTTTGAGTGTAACTTTTTCTTGGTTCTGATGCACCACTGCTTATGGCCATGGAGATGTTACTCCTTTGCCATTAATGTATCACAGTGTGGCAATAACATTTACTACTCAGAAATCCTTTAATTAGAGAACTTTAAAGCCAAATGGTGGAACTTTTCAGGCAAAGCAACAACTTCTCCATGATCTCTACTGACTCCACCATCCTCATTTATACTGGCTTGGGACAAGTAAAATCAAAACTATGCTGACACCTAGTGGTTGGATGATACTAGGCAACAAATGTCATAAGTGTATTTCTTTTTCTGTATTGTTATGCTCTTTTTAATGTTGTCACTTTAGCAGGTTGACTTTGTGAAGAGCAACTGATGATAGTAAAATAACATTTAAGTCAGTCACACAGACTGTTTACTGTCAGTGTTGAGAGATCACAGTGTTGGAGGCAAATAAACACGACTTCGAGTCAAAAGGATTACACAAGTTTGAGATGAAAGCAGTAGCTGATGAAGCGATCAGAGGATGGTACACACTGTACAACCCCACACATGACCCCAGACACTCACAATACAGCTCTATGTGACACCACGGATAACATCTATTCAAGAGGAGAAGCTCAATGTAAACAATGTGGAACTTCATCCTTTACGTTACATTAAAAGTTACAGTTTTTTAAAAGATTATTTTGAGACAGTTTAGCAGTATATCATAAAAAGTGCCTCGTGCTTTTATTAAAGTTTCATTTTTGTTTTGATTTATGAGTGTATTCGCATGATGGTTAAAAAAGAAGTTTCTAAGTCAGAAACTGCCATTCCAAGTGGTCACCAAAATTCATTCAGTTTAGTAACAGGTTATTGATGTAGTTAGATAAAAGATTTTGTGATCCAATGCAATAGTGCAACGACTAAAGAAGTTAATATAGTTATTATATTCAAGATTTTTACCACTGGAAGATATAAAAGAGTGCTATGGAAAAGGAATATAGTTCTGGTTTGGTTTATTACTGCCACTATACCTAAATTGTACACAAACAAATATAGTCATGACTGGGATGAAGTAATAGGCTATAAGTTTAAATGTATGACTAAACAATCCACTTTGCTGCCATGAGAAATGTCAATACATCAAGACTGTACCTTTTTAATGGAAACAGCTCGGTGACCACCTAAAGGCAACATTTTAACACATCGATGTTAGGGCCCGATTATCTTCAATACCTTTGGAAAATTATAACCACAACTTTTATTTAGAAAATAATTTCTAACATTTCAACTGTAAAAATGATGTAAAATTGTCTTACCATTGCAGTGAGTGAAGTGCTCTAACTTTTGTCTAACATTCCCCTGTCTGTGTGGCTCAGAAATAAAAGACTGTTACTAAGTTACAGAATACAATAAACTCCAGCTTTATTGTTCTTCACACACAGGCCTGTTTCCAGACCTCTGCTGCCTCCAGCTCTTCTCATTGAGCTTATGGATAGATAATAGCTGCTTACGTAATAAACTAGTTTCTTATTTCCTATTTACAATGAAATAACTCATATGGCACAGTGGTAGTAGTTTGGGATATTGCCATCGTAAAGAGGACTGAAGCTAATTTCCTAACGGGATCATATACCTTGGCACTACCACGCTCTGGTCAACCCTGCTTAACAGGAAATCTAAGAAGCTTAGTCAACTAATGCCCAAATGGCCCCAGGTAGCCACAATGACAACAAAGGTCCTTTAAAAATCACCCGGGAGTACAAATGTAGAGGAATCAAAAACTACAACAGACTTTTGGTTTAAATAATTACAAAACATTTTACTTCAAAAGGCAAAAAATATTCAGCAGTGACAGTACAAATATTTGGTCAATATTAAATACTGTACATTACTGAGAAATCCATAGACCCCTCTTATGATCAGGGAAGAAAGTCAACAATAACGTTTGGTTTCAGAGGCAGGCGCGTAAAGAGCTGCTTTGTCTCCAGCACAAAGGGACGCATCCCAACTCACGTCTTTGTTTTTTTTCTTTTTTTTTCGGGGTTTTTTTTTTTACGGGAGCCAATCCACATGCGCCCCTCTGACAACAAAAACATGTGCAAAGGACAATATTATTAAGGTGTTTAAATTGTAAGAAACATATAGGCAAACAAATACCCTCCTTAAGAAGCGCACACAACAATATTTGGGTGCAGAATTACGCATTTCTTGCATTAATAGTTTTTGTTTTAAAAGACAATCTGACACTTAATTCTTGGAACCAGTCTTTCTTTTACGCACACATATTTTGAGTCTCTAATTAAGATTCCATTACAGGAGGCATTATGCAAAGTCCATAGATAAACAAAAGACTCCGAGTATCAGGTGTCAGCATCCTTTAAGGTGCGGAAGTGCTGATAGTTTGTCCACTTTCCCCAAAGCAGCAGCGTTTTCGACCCCTTTCAGCCACTCTTTACATTTTCTCACCACTGTCTCATCCACATCCCCGTCTTCATCTTCATACTCCACATCATCGTACTTATACTGATCATTTAAAAGTGAGATTTTAACTATAGCTGTAATGTCCTGTTCTAGGGGGTCCGGTTTACACGCGCTGGGGACGCATCCTTTGCCTCCCCCTTGCGTCTTTTTGGAGGGGAACACTCGCCTGTGCCTAAAGTCCGCTGCGGCGCAACACTTTTGCTGCTTGGCCATCATTTGCTTTTCCAGGTTGCGTTTTTGAATAACGAGTATGGCTTCTGGGGTCAGACTGAGAGTAAACTGAATGTCCTTCTTGGCTTCGTCCTTGCCCTGTTGTTGTTTAGCTGAGTCCATAGAAGTAGAGCGTCTCACCACTTCGCATGGTTGTTCCTGAGGTTTGGGTACAGCCAGCCACGAACATTTTCCCTGAGGCTCGTCCTGTTTCTGAACTGGACTTTTGCTCTTCTCCTGTTGAGGTTTTCTCCCGAGATTGCGTAAATTTGCGGATGTCCAGGAGGATGGTTGCTTCTCCTTTTCGGACACCTTATCTGCTCCGGATTTGCTGGTGAGCTCAGATTGAGGAGGCACGGCGCTGGTTTTCTTCTTCCCGAATAAATCCCTGCCAGGAGAAGAGATCCGCTGATGCAAGCTGATAGGCGGAAAAGGCATTTTTGCGTGCGTCTGGAAGAAATCAGGTCAGAAGTAAATGTCCAAAGTGCTGAAGAGGAAGCCCTGCGACGAGACGTGCCAAACAGTTCATTATCCGAGAGTGACAGGGGCAGGGCACGGTGCACCTGTCAGTACTCGACTGCGATTCAACTGGTGAACACTCACGCGCGACTCCCGGCGTTTATGGACGCGCCGGCAGGAAGGCGTGGTCACGGGGAGCACCAAACAAAGCCATGAAAAAGCGCATGATGTCATTTCATCAGGTTCAGATATCTCCTCCCACTCTAATACACATGGAGCTGTCATTAAGAGGGTCTCGGTGACATTTCACTTTGTAGCTAGAATTAATGCCCTAAATAAACGATTAAAGCATCTTTCCAAAGTTGGGGAAAAACATAAAATAAACTAGACTAACATGAATGGAACAGCTTCAGTCTTGACCTGTGTTTGGTTTTACAGTAACTTATGACGACATTAAAAACGTAGGCTACTTTTAATTAACTGTCATGCATGTAACTTGACGAATTCACATAAATTATATTATTTTTAAAGATGGTCTTTAATGTGCACTTGCTGGCTCTTTTATGATACAGGTCTTGTGTCAATCCGAGCATGTATTGACCTGAGGTAGAGCTATTTAGTTATTAGACAGGGCCCAAAGAGACCAAAAGTTAATACATTTCCAAATAGAAAATAATATACAAAAATATGAGTGTGAATGAATGAATGTATCATGGTATGTATAATGACTATTCTTAAGCTCATAACCCTATAACGTGCCCGTGGTAATGTCTGTCCTTGAGCTGACAACAATGACATGCTTTGATTGCTTTAGTCAGTGTTGTAGAAAATGTCAATTAAACCCATGTGAATGCTTGAGTGCCATATAGACTGATACAAGAAGAAGGAATACACAAACAGAATATTGATCTTTAAGTGTGTGTTTTAACCCAACAAAAAATAGGGTTGAATGTCAGTTTATCTCCACCGGTGAGTCAAAGTAAATCAATGACTGAAAATGTGTAGCTTTTAGACACTTTATTGGATATTGCCTGAGGATGTTCAGATTTACATTATGCCAAGCACATTAAATTCACTCAATACATTACTATTCGCAGGGCTGTGTTCTATAATGTGACATGAAAACAAATATGTGAGATGTAAAACAATTCTCAGGTTGTGTCAATAAATACTCTAAACTTTTGACAAGAATAAATGTGGCTGATGAAAATGACAACTTCGATTTTTTTTTTTTTTTTAAGTACTAGCTACTGATTTAGATCACAAATGATTAGTCTGAGTAGATTCTTTGCTACATAGATCTTTGTTTTGCCCTTCTTGAAAACATGGTGTTTTTCACAATACTGTACATTTGAAAACAAGGCTGATTTTAACAATAGCTTTCAGTGCAGTGTTTGTCAAGATTAAAACAAACAAGATTAAATAGAAAAACACATCAATCTAATGTGTGAATGCTAAAATGTATTAACATCACAATTTCTTTATTAGTTGACTATCTACTAAGGTAATCTGAAGGGGAAGGACAATCTGTTGTGTTTGCTGTGGCTCTGATATACCATGGATTAAATGTAAAGGAGACAGTGGGCACAGATTGGTAGTACTTCCCCATCTCACAAGTTTTTTTTTTAAGTCCCAAAACACTGCACAATAATAAACAGAATCTCCCCGCTTAAGGCAAGTCAATAGAATACATCCTGATTTAAAGTGTCCCATTGTTTACCAAGGCCAGCAACATTGTACATGGGATTTGCTGGTTCATTGCCAAGTCAGTCGCACAAGTGCAGCCAAAAGAAGATTTTGTCAACACTAATCCACCGCCACACAAGCAGGTCCAATGAAACATAGAGTTAAGTGCAAGCCCAATCTAAATATTGTAATATAAAACAATCTTGAACATGTTTTCAAATCATATACTGTTCATTGTTGACAATGAGTAATTAGCAGAAATATTGTTTTAATAATAAATATTTAGATTTGATGGCAAAAACCTTTATACTCCAGCTTTTTTTTTTAAGAAAATGGTCAGCAAAAAATATATATTTAAAAAAGCAGCTCTTTCCCCTGCTTACTTCTAACTCAAAAGTTAATATTTAAAATTATCTGATAATTTGTAATAACACCTTATGATATCATTTTGTCAACTACAGTACACAGTAATTTCTAGCAATTTGTGATGGAGCATTGTGGAAAAAATAAGTAGAAAGTGGTAATATACAAATCTATGTATTGTGAACCTGGCTGCCGCTTCAAGGTTTTCCTCTAAATAACCTTCCCTACACCTTCTCATTGAGATAATATGAACATCTGTACCACAGATGGGGGTGGGACGAGGATGGGATTCTTCCAGAGGGGGTTACCATGACAACCGCATCCTCAAAGGTCTGTGCGCTGTGATGCCGAAACGATGGAGAAAACCCACAATGCACTGGGTTATTAGGTCATGTCTAAATCGCAATGTTCACAAGAGCATACTGAAGCAGGCCTTTGCTGCATCTGTCAGGGAAATCCAATTTAAAAAGGACAACCCGATTTTAATGCAATTTAGAAAAGCTAAAGCAGAGAAGATGATAGAATGCAGTCTAGACAGGCAAAACATACAGTAGACTGAAGCATTAGCAATGTTTTTACAATTAAAAATACTATCAAGACAAACATTGAAAAGCATAAAAGGTAATTTAAGACAAAAATACTAACACATTTTAGTGTGGTCATGTGAAAATAATTAAAGCAAAAAATTGATTTCTGCTAAAGATAAATGTATGTGAAGATATGCATTTCCCTGCTTATAAAATGTGAAAGAATGCTCGGAACATAGTTGGAATATAATAAATATAAGGTTAAAGGCACTTCTTTTACAGAATGCACATATGAATGAAACTGTGCTAGCTAGAAACTAGATTTTAGCTAGACTTAAAAGTAATTGTTCACAGTACAAAAAAAAGAAAAAAAAAAAGAAAGTAGTTGTATATACAAATCCAGTTTGCATATTGGGACCAGTCATCTTGGCCGCAGGAATCCTTAACTTACGCACGTAGTGAAGCACTTTATCACTGCATCCCTGTAGAGAAAAGAAAAGGTGAGAAAAATGTTAGATCATATAAAACACAGCTTAGTTTTACGTCAATATTTTCCTTTAAAATGAACACCCAGGAAAGTTACAAAGCACTTCTTAAAAAAAAGAGAAAATTGGATACTGGTATATTTATAACATCATATTTATTCCTGCCTCGCCACATTGGATGCTCTTATTGACAAAACCTTTGCCATTGTAGGCCTAGGACTTAATAGTAATTGAACTTTGACCCCTTGGTCTCTGGTTTACTACTAGTAGAAAAATTATACTGTACATGGCAAATCAGCTAATTGTAATACTGGTTAGAAAATGTTGTGGCTGAATATAGACAGGAGAAAAATAGAGAAATAGAGAAATAAGCTATATCAATTTGGACAGCATTCTAATGGGTAAAATGAGACACAGCAAAAATGCTTTAAGAACAGATTTGACTGTACCATAGCTAAGCATAAATTATATCTGGTCCAACATGATAAGAGTAATGGCACTTTGAGATCAACTCAGTCAAGCATATAAAATGAATAGTGACATAAAAGGCCATTTGTGCCTTTGTTACACTGATTTGGGTGTGGCTTGTCATGAATAAGTGAGTGTGTTTTGGCGGGTAAGCTCCAATGATGAAAGTGGGGGGATGCTTAAGGTGCTGTTTGAGGGATGATGCAATGTGAGGGATCGCTATGGCAACCGCATCCTTTTGGCAACTCAGCTCCCCCTAATATATACTGCTCCTGATGCCGGGTCCATCAATGTGTGTGTTGCTATGCAGACTCTGCCCCGGAGCCAGAGCCACAAATTTCAGTGGAGGAGGTGTGAATCCTGCCAAGGTCGAAGGGAGAAAGAAGAAGTAGAGAAAGGGGAGGGGAGAGTAATAACTATAGACTCCCTGACGGACTGGGAGGAGGGGTCTTATGCTTGCGTGTGCAGTGTCCCTGAAAGCACTCAAAACCAAAACAACAAGCAACATTTTAAGTATTACAGGATTAAGAGAAGTGTCTAACCTAGGAATGGGCAAGATGACAAAAAACATGATTTCTTTCACTCATTATCGAGCAATTACAATTTGCGGTTAGATTTTATTTTGTCTTTATTGCTTATGTTGTATTTACAATCTTAATCTAATTTTAAATAAGTGCTACTTGACTTAAAAATTGTCTTCCCTCAAAGGCTGAACTCTGCGAACTCTGATTGCTGATAGAAGATTGGCTGTGGACCTCTCAATAAAAATTTTAAAAAGCTGATAATTGACAATTAGAATGACTGAATCTCAATCTCGGTTAAAATTGTATTAATTGCACAGCACTAGTCTTTCACATTTGGAGAAAAAATTGGTTAATAATTGGAAGAAGGACACATAGACTGGTAATCTTGAGGTATTGAATAATTTTCGATAAGAAACAGTTCTATGCAAATATTGGGGAAGTGCTGATGAACGCAATGAATGGTAGGGAGGAGGGGCTTTCAGTGTAACATGGTTAACAGCTTGATCTAATGCACATGCAAAACAAAATCTGGTTTCTAGAGAGTGAGAGTGTTGTTTTTCTTTCATCAATATACTGCATCTGAATGTCTGTAAGGGGGGAGGGGGTTTATAGTTAGACTCAATAACAAATTAAAAATTTCAAAAAACAAACAGGAGTTGAGCCAAATAATTTCACATATGTTCAAATATCTAATAATATTAATAATATTTTTTTTAATGATGTAAAAAGCCACAAAGACGAATGGAGGTAACTTACCAAAATATATTAAATGAAAAATGGATTATAATAAGAAGATTAAGATGAGATAATAAAAGTGTGGATGGTAATAACCAAAAAAAAAAAAAAAAAAATGTAAATAAGAGACAATTTATCACATTTAGCTGTCCTAAAAATCCAGTGACAGTCAATTGCAGATTTGAGTGAAGGAATTTCTGAGGGTAGCAAAAGTGAATAGGTCTTTGTCTCTTTGTCGTATTGTTGTTGCATTAGAGTTGGGGGGATGGGGATCAAGGGCTGGTTAGAGAGGGGTCGCTCAGCTGTCAGGACAGATTATAGGGTCACCTAAATACACAGGGCAGTTAAAAGGTGGGGTACACAGGCTCCAGGCTCCGGGACGGTGAACCAAATGAGACATAACGCTACTCCCAGCTGGACTGGCAAAACAACATCACACTTAGAACCCGGCTGGAGTCCTGGTGTACCATATGGGACAAGTTGACCAACAGATACTACTGGCTCCTAATGAAACTTATATACAAGAAAAAAAAACATGCTAATGTCAACAAGACAGGATTGATGATAAAGGATTTCGAAGATTTAAGAGATTTGTATCCTCAACGTAAGCAGGCACTGTACTATGGGGGTGTCAATCTAATCAAAAATAAATTTACTGGATTTCAGACTCAGACATTTTTGGTTAATCTGAGGCTAAAAGCATTAACACTGGCCAAGAAATGAATCCATTTTGATATTACAGAAAAGGCACTGGGCTCAGAGGAGTGTGAAACAACAAGCTGCCATTTGCTGGACATTAAGTGCCTGCATTAGTCCTGGGGGGGATTACAACCATATGGTGAAGGCAAACAGAGTGATGTTTTGAAATAAATAAAAACATGTTGTGTTAAGGGTTGTGGTTTGTTCACCGTGTCACTGTTTAAATACAAGACTGTAGTGTAGAGCAATGTACTGTGTAATGAAAAGGGTAAATAAAATAAAACTTACCTGGCAAATGGTATGTAAGAGATACTATACCTGAAATACAAAGTGATCAAGTTAACAGAAATAAAAACACAAACATTGAAGATTATCAGTATTTAAATGTATTCATTTTAAACACCGATATTTAAAGTCCAATTTGCCGTTATAAAATTTTACTGATTGGATTGGATTAAGGATTGGCAGTAGATCTTTCTAATAAAAAGAATGTTTGTCCATAAAAAAATTATTAAAATAAGATAAGATATAATTTAGTTTTTGTCTTCTGCACTTATCCAAGGTTGGGACAAACATACTGGGCAGTGTTTGATGCGCCATGGCAAACTTGGACAATGGTTCACAGTTTTAATCTTAAACTGTACTTCCAGAGATTAAAGTGCAGCTCATAAATTTCAAACATGTGAGGAATTCAGCACATTAGCTAACTGATTAACTAATGTCAGATTATAGCATTACACCACAAGTCACAAAGGCATTTTCAGCCTTAAAAGGAGCTGACTAAAGTTATGACATAACATTAGTGTAACAAACTACAGTACAAATATCAATGAAGGTACAGGCTGAGTACCTTTTGCATGTTTAACCTGAAAATTGTTTCAAATAATAGTGTTAGAATTATTGTGAGAAAAAATATAATTTGATGATTTTTCACAATGATTAAAACTTGAACAAAAAGAGAATTGTGAAATCCATACACATACAATGAACAACCATTGCTCTAAGTGACTAGCTTTATAAAAATCAAACTTTCCGAAAGAAAAGTATGTGGCTGTGGCATACGTAGGAAAACTTCTTACAATTACATTGTGACCCTTTAAAGGACCTCACCATCCCCAGTCCTGACTTTAATTTTGTTCCATTGCATTACTAGTCCCAAATAGCCTGTGAGTAGGACCTATGCTTGCTGACTACACTTTGCTCGTGTCTGTGTGGGTCAGCGCTGATCTTATTAAAATCCCACCTTCCCTCAGCCGTCTGGAGGGCTGTGTGGGAGGGCACTACGGCCCCAGTGTCTGAGCTTGGAGAATGAAAGCGCCTAGGAGACCTGCGACTTCAGGTTTCCATGGTGATGCTTGGAGAATGTGCCGGAAGTGAATTTTTCAACGTGGGGGTGCGAAGAGAGAGGAGCTGACAAGGTCCTGCTTAGTGAGTAAATCTAGACTATGTATTGTCCTGCATTATGGTGTTTGCACTTCCAGGCACTTTGCTCCACTGAAACTTCCAGTCACTGCTTGGTAAATATGCTTAACTTAAAGAAAACAAGTGGAAGCATGCCCATACATATCAATCAGGTCTATGTGAGAATGCAGCTATAATAAAGTAGACAAACACCTGCTGTTGGCAGAGTGGTCATTATATTTTGATTACATTAGTGGAAGAAATATTATTTGTTTGTTTTATGAATGGGATGATACATTAAAAGCCAAATGAAAAAAAGAGAAGTTTACTCAAACCTACTGCAAAACCACTGACTTACTCAGGACACAACTCCCAATAGGTCTTAAAAACAGTCATTAATTTTTAAAATAAATCTAAAAACAGTAATTGCTTACTTTACCAACCTTATGTGGGTGTTAGTAGCTTTTTAATTTCTCATGGATGTAGTTTTATTTTCTCGTATGCAATAAATCCATTTGTAATCTTATAATTTATCACTTGTAAAGTTAAAAGCAACACTAAGCAAACACCTGACTTGAAACTACAAAAAACATTAAAATGAAAATGGCATCTAAATGATATCACAGCTTATGACCAGTACAATAAAAGAAAACATCTTCTACCCTGACTGATCTGGGTCAACTTTACTAATTGGATGATGCTGTCTGAGTGCAATCCTTGCACGTTGACATGTTAAGGTCTCGGTATTAAAACCAGCCGTGGTTCAGACACAGGGTTAAAAATACACCAACCCAGAGCAAAGACTGGCACACTGCAGACCTCTGACTCAGCACGTTAGTCAGACAGATGTGGGTTAGACAAAGTAGGATGAATAAATCTAGTAAGCTCACCAAGTAATATACTGCCAAGCGACAGTCTAGACTCACACACTTACCATGTCATTGCCAAAAACTGCAGAATACAGAAGATGATAGCGAGTCCCTTTTTACCCCACTGAAACAGAAATACACACATTTGTTACTATGAATACTACGAAATGAAAAGGTGCTCCAAATGTTACAGTTGGAGCACCTTTTCATTTCTGGCTGATGGTCCGCCACCTGCTTATCGCCATGGAATTGTTATAGCTTTGCATGGCATGCTCCATATTGTGGAGCATGCCATATCTATCTCCATGGAGACAAGCAGGTGAAGAATGTAAGAAAACATGTTTTTTAAGGTGTTTTCAAGCAGCTTTCAGTATTATAATAAAATCCAAATTGTACATACCCAGAACACTGCACAGAGTGTTAAGACCAGACAAAGCTGAAAAAAAGAAACATTATTAAAAAAATCTGCCGCACAGGATTAGGCTATTCACAGAAATGAAAGGTAAAAAATAAAATAATTTCGTAGTGACAAGCTTAAATGTTTTGTCACAATTGGTTACTGGGGCACCAAATCTGTGATTAGATTTGACCTGGGGATCTACCGTCAGAAGTCACATGCAATGTTTACACTCCAAGGCCATTCTAAAATACAAGAAAACATAATGTAAAACAATGTAACTTACCAACATAACAATAGTTGCTATCAGCCTTGTAGGTTCAAACATGCGCTTCAATTGTTTCAGAGGTCCCATTAGGAAGCATGTGCTTTAGAAAAAACAAAACATTGAAAAATATTTAGAATCTATGGCCTTGTATTTAGTAGTTCATACATTAATGTGAACCTTTAAACATAATGCATGTTAGTATAACTTTTATTGTTATATTATTGAAATTATGTTTATACAGTATATTTGGATGGAAGGATGGAAAAGAATATCCTTCCATCCATACGTAAAGAAGTGAATAAGGTTACGTGAGGAAGTCAGAAAAATCTATTCAACAGGTAATACTTAACACCAACCAACGTCATCGTTTGTGACTGTGAATACATTTACAGTGTTCTTCTCCCCTTATTAGGAGTCATCAGACAAAGTCATTAGTCCTGGTTTAACCTCATCTTTTGAATCCAAGCCTCTCAATACCACCACTGAGCTTACCATCTTTCTCAAACTATAGTCACCGTTTTCTGTTTATGTGACTTAATAACACTTCCTCTCATGTTCATTCACAACCATTTAGAGTCACAAATTAACCCAGTAAGCGTGCCTTTCATTGGTCCTACTCCAATTCCTATTCCTTTCTGTGCCAGGGGCTAGGCTCACTTTAACCATAATATCAAGATTTATCAATACTGCAAAAATGTATATATTGCACATGATAACCTAATTGTAAAAAGTACTCACATAATAAATTATAAAAACAGATGTACCTTGAAATAGTAATTTTCATCAATACCAAAATATTGATGTGAGTCTGTGATACTAGTATCACCAAATACTTGTGATGCCCCTCCTCTGTAAATGCTCAAACCAGCTCAATTTAGTTTTATCAATAAAAAATGTAGAGTGACATCATCAAATGGGCCTGTGACTACATACATTAGTTAGACCATTTAGGTGTATATTTTGGGACTACTGCAAGATGACACATTGATAAAAACCTCCTACACGCTACAGTTTGCCTGGTGACGTCAGTAAATGTTATAACACAAAGGGTTTCCCGCGCTGTCAGGCTGAGGAGAGCCGAGGGAGGCAGAGGAGCGTCACTGTAGCTCTGTGAGGCACTCTGGCTCTGGAGTGTGTGGCTGTGACGTCGGCTATGGTCTGGTCTGTGTGAGTGAGAGAGATGGAGACGCTTTGTCCAAAAGCACTGTGTGAGTGTGGCCACGCACAGGCTGTTACTGCTACTCCAGATTCAAGTGAGGGAAGAATACTCCATTGTGTTAGGACTCTACTCCTACTACTCCTACTACTCCTACTACTCCTACTACTCCTACTACTCCTACTACTCCTACTACTCCTACTACTCCTACTACTCCTACTACTCCTACTACAATAGCAAACCACTGAATAAGAAATATGCAACATGACATAATCACTAAACAACTCCCTTGTGACAACTTGTGACTTCCATTGTGAATTCATAGTTATTCACTTTCCTTATGTTGACTTTCCTTTTACATCAAAATATGAACGATCTCTAAACAATCCTTTTTACAGAAGATTTGTTTATTCAAATATGAACTTAAACTATTGATATTGAAAGTGGTACAACAATATGGTTTGTCATACAACATACTGACTTTCGAAATGACTTACATGCCAATAAAACCTGACATAGATTGATTTGTTTCATTTTCATTTCTTCTAGCCCTGGGAAAATAATGAGTCTCAGCCAATGATTAAATTGTCACTATTATTCACAAATCAGAAGACAAAAAGAAACACTTTCATTTGATAAAAGGTTATGTAGATGTGCTGATCCATGAAGACAGGTGATTTTGCAACAAACCTATAGCGTACAGTGGGGAAATACTGTATACTGTGTTGCTGTTGTTAAAACATATGCCATATTTACATACTGATTTAAATGTTATTCTACATATGATGCGTCAGTCTCTGTGGGCATCTTGTGAGCATTTTCATGGTTAAATGTAGTGATACTAAACATCTATGTGATTACTGTCAAAATGGTGATGTGTGACGATAAACTAAAACTGCACGTTATGACTAATATAAGTAACAAGTAAAATCTGTATCATAGCCAAGAACAGAGAGATAAGGAGAGTGTCATTGAGGACAATATAAATCATATTGTGTGGTGTATAAGCAAGGTACTTCTGGCACCCATCAGCAGGCTGCATTAGCAATTAAAAGCATGAAGCCAAGCCAAGAATTAGATCGGCCAAATTACTGTTGGCTCTGAATCTCACCTGGAAAGAGCCATGACGTTCCCTAATGTGTAAAAGACTGCAAAGAACTTGATTCCATTTGGAAGGAACAGGAGAGCTGAGCCCTAGTTAACAAAAATAGACTTTGTTAGTTTCATTTGAATATCTATTTATAGCAACAGTACAGTATGTTGAAACCTGTCCTAATTTCTGTAAAAAAAAAAATAAAAAAAAAAAAAAAATCAACCAAACTGGTCCATTTTTCTATGTCAGTTTCAGTGGGCAACATCTTTCGTAATCATAGTCTATAAATTATTTCATTTAGTTGCTGTCCTGCTTTAAAGTGGGAACTTGTCCTGATTTAGTTAACAATCCAGTCCAGTTTATGCATATTTTAGTCCTGATTCAAAATCAAATTATAGCTCAGTTTCATCAAGCTCACTATCTAACACAATAGCTGTTGGAAAGTCACATGAGATGGTACTCAATGTTGAAAACTAAGGTGAAAACCACTGTTTTCGATTAAATCTGGCGCCCCCTTGTGACAACATATAAAATGTTGTTTTCAATACAAAATGATAAATGGAAAGAATTGGAACTGAAAATCAACCATCTCTAGACAATCAAAAAAGAAGGCATCTCATTTGTAATGCAATATTTTATACAGGGTCTTGTTGTAGTAGGCATCAGTTTAAGTAACAGTAATCAATCAAAACTATCATAATACTATATAAAACCATTACATTTTCTAAATAAAAAAGGTCTCCTGTTCAAACTCAGAGAAGCATTGAAATATTGTGTCACTTATCACAGTGGTGTAGCCTCTAGCTGTACTTCCTGCTATTATTACACATACATACATAAGTGTCTCACTGCATTTTCTCTTACAGTAAACTGCAGACATTGACTTTGCAGGGCAAATGGTGACAAAGAAAAAAGAATCCTCTTAAATAGATTAAACAAATATAATATATTTTTGTTTGAAGTTTAAAAATAATCTACAGCTAGGTAGAATACAGACTTGAGTAAATTTTTGCTGTAAACTTACATTCTTCAAGGTCAATTCATTCATGTTGGTCAGCTCATGGTGCGAACATACACTGCCACAAAACTAAAATAACCATTCTGATTTTTATGTGGAATAAATGTGATTATCATTAGGGTACTATATATTGGATCATTTTGATTTTAACAGGAAGACAAAAGTTTAGAGAATTTTTGTGTAAACCTTTACTTTGTTCTCATTACAAATGCTTTGTGAGACAAGAGTGAAAAAGCCTGACAACACATGACTGAAGTAGATCAGTTCACATCTTTGGAAAATAGGTAGTGTTCATGTGATATCACAATACTCTCAAATCTCTTTTGGTTTAAAAATGAACTGGAGAACAGGTCAGAACTCTGTGGTAAAATTTGCTTTTTTGTCACACTGCAGATTTACTGAAATGTTTTATGGCTAATAATAATAATAATAATAATAATAATAATCTGTATATTTATGCCCTATTCACAAGAAACTAAAAGCTAGCACAAAGTTTGACACCTTCTCTGTCACAAACAACCTCAATAATTGTTGTTTAAATGGCTTGAAGCCTTTAGATTAACTTTGTGGGGCCAATCTCTAACAAATAATGATAGAATTCTACTTCAAATTCTAGCAAATTCTAGTAAGTGAATACAAACCAATTAAGTGTTCATTTTGGTTTAACACTAGGTGAAAGAATTCTATATCCAGTGTGACACTCACCAGGATTGAACACAGAATGCCTCCAGCGAAGCATATGACAAACCATTTGATCCTCGTGCTGTAGCTGAGTGTACTGGCATCCAGGACCTGTGCAGAACAATGGGAGGATGTCAAACACAACATTATTGACCTGCGAGGGGCGCTATGCTGACGGTTAACCACATAATATTTGTATCTAAGGATAAATAAAGGTTTTCTAAAGAAAAAGCAGGCACCAGCACTGGGTTGTTGCTGCACACTCAACTCATACAACTTACAGTCACTGCCAAATTCCGGCAATAACGTTGGATATCAGGGAGAGCAACACTTCAATGAGTAGCAAAAATGTAATAAAATGTAAGATGTCAAAATACAGACTTACAATAGCTGCCTTATATTACAACACCGTATAACAAAAATCATAATAATTAGGCACATTCTTACCTTGTTTCCTCCTGAGCATGATTGCATGTAAAAGCATTAACAAACACATAAATAAAAGTTCTAATAGCATTAAAAGTATAGGGCTAAGTTAAAGGAAGACTACAAGAGTCAAAGTAGGAACTTAAAAGTGATCAAATGATAAACTAATGTCTGTGTGTCGACCAGAGATAAGACTCTGTGAGGAGTTGCTTTCATCAACATTTAGCTAACAATAACAAAGATACAAAATAAGCATACATGGAGATAGAGAAGATAGACGAGGAAGCTGCACAGTAAATACAGCTTGCTGGTTTTAGCTTTAGCTTTACTATGTACGAGTTGTCCCACATTTGCATACATACCTGTGCTGTGAGACCAAGCTCCTCGTTTTCCTCTTGGCCGCTGAGCACTCGACGAAGCTTGTCCATCGCTAAAACCTAAAGATACCAACTATTTGTTCAAAAAGGTACAGAGAGCGACTTCGGTTGTTGGACAACCACAACTTTGGCCGATGTAGGAGTGAAATTTCTTCGACTTGTTGCTTCCGGACAAGCGCCTTTTGACCAGAACTGACCTGAGCTCGGTTTGCCTTTGTTGGGTGAGGTTGAGTCTGAACTTTGGGCGGCACTGAAACTGATCTAAGATCAGTCTGTCACGTCAACTCCAAAAGATAGCGCTTCCTGTCATGTGTCGCCTTTCAGTACGGTCGTAAAAAGGAGTAATCACGCATTACACGCTTGTTATAATACACACAAAAGATTGGCTTTGAAAACATGTGCACAGCCTACATATCTAATTACAGAAGCCTAATCATATGTCTTTATGTTTTGAGTGTTTTTGCTTTCTTTCCAGTAACTCACTGCTATTGCTTCAACTCTGTCGACATCTAGTATTAGCCTTTAGGCATTGCAAGTGATAATTGTAGTGGTAATGACAAAAACTAATTACGACTAAAGTTTTGGTCATTACCACTGCAGCCAATTTAGACTATTTGATATGCATTTTTTTCACGTCACAGTTCAAAATGCTATTCATTTCCACAATGTCCACGCTTTATATGGTTCTGTGAGGCGCATTACTTTGGGTCACATTGTTCTTTTGAAAGAACACAATGGGTTGAGTTCTCCTGTGAGACTATTCAGGTACAAGTACTCAATGTAATTACCATATATGTCAATTACAGGCACAATATTTAACAAACAACACCAGAGCAACGGAAATTTTGTATCTATGTATCTTATCTGTTTAATATTTGTTTCCATTCAGTGAGCAGAGAAGCATGGACTACTCAAATCAGCCTACTTGGTGGAACCAATTCAGAAACGAGGACCATGAACGTCTTCAGGGAGTAATTGAGTGATCTGACAATAAATAGCCAATAGGTAAAGCTCAGGTTAAAAAAAAAAAGAAAGAAAAAAAAAAAGAACAAAAATAAAAACATCTGCCTACATCTAATTTAAGGTTTCAATAACAGCACAGTGGAAGAAATCCTAAAATTTTTTACACTTGTTAAACCAAAAGGCACAAAAACTGCTCAAGGACGTGTGCGCAGTCTCATCACACACCCGAGTCAATGAGCGGACGAATTTTTCATCTCAAAAGAGCCAGACTGTCGCTAGATGTCGTTGACAATAATGTTGAGACCAGTGTCTTTCTTAATAAATGTCATAATCTCCATCGGATTTCCCTGCGCTTTAGGACTCCATAGGATTTATCTGTGCCCTGTGGTATGCCGTTGTTCTTCCCACTCGTTCAGATGCAACAATGTGACCGAAAGCTCCGCGCTCATGCTGGGACACAAGGAGGAGAGGCTGTAAGTTCATCTGTCAAAGTTCTTTATTTCATTTAATGCACAGAGTGATGTTGTTTACCTTTGCGTAAAGTTCACTCTTTTCACCATTACGCACGGATTTTTACAAGCCTGTTACAATTAAAGGTGCACTATGCAACTTTTCTTACTGTTATTGCTTGGGTCTGGAATATTTCAGAGTGTGGTTATTATTCAGTAACATGTGTTTTAATGCTTAAGAATATCTTGAAAAACATGCACTTACATTGAATGCCTCTCTCAGATCTGACCTGTAATTTGACGTAGAGGTTTGCCCACATTGCTTAACCTTTTGACAAAGATAAGTTTAACACCATACTGTGGAACATTCTAACTCAAAAAGTTACATGGTGTACCTGTAATGAACATCTTTGCATAATAAAGTTATACAATTATTGCTATTTAAAATATATGCTTCAACTACAGAATGCTGGTCATAAATGAGTATACAGCAATGCGTTGTACACGCATGAAATAGACAAGCATTGTGCTCATTCAATGCTTAACAACTTTCCTTTTTAAATTAACAGGTACATCTTGTATTTGGAATGTTTTACAATAGACCTCATCCTCCCCACAAGTACATCAGATACTCACACTGTTATAACTAACCCTAATCCTGTAATAAAATACCCAATATGTTTTTGGTTCAATTAACTGTGCCAGATGTCAAGGTGATCCCTCACCTTTTGACACACTGTGCTCTGTGACCATCATCCTTGTGTGTGTGCATGCGTGTGTATGCGTATGTATCTGTAATGTTTGTGTGTATCTGTAATGTTTGTGTGTAATATTTAAAGGTGTAAGTCTTGACCTCTGCTGTAAATCAGAGGAGAACCTTGAGTGTCTCTTGATAAGTGTCCACCAAGGCCAGGCGTCTCATGCAGCCACACTGAGCTTCATTACACATTTGGAACAGCAGACCAGACCAATGTGTTTCAAGTTACAAGGAAAACTCGCTTTACAGTAGGAGGCTAATGTTTAATTGGATATAGTTTGGTAAATCTATAATTCAAGTTGAACTAAAAACAAAGCAGTCAGTTATTTTGAACATAGAAAGTACATCCACTATTGTGCTCATAAAAGAAAGTTTATTTATTTGTATTTGTGTTACAGGTTCCTATACCACTTATCTTTGAAGGCCATTTCAAGTTATTCATTTGATGGTCTGAAAGAAGTTCAGATAATGTAAGCATGTCTAATACATTTATAACTACAAAATCCTTGAGTTTGCATTTCTTTATTGAATGCATATGAATAACTGTCATGTTACACAATAAATGGGTTAATTTCCTCTGCTTTAAATCCAGAACAATTTCTCAAAGCGTGACCCTGGAAACTATTGAAACATTAGCATTTAACAACATGATGAAACTTACTGAAATGTAAGTACTGACACTTAAGGATCCAACACAGGATCATTATAAAGGTGGACAACAATAACTCTAAAGAAGCTTTGTTACTAAATGCAGCACAATTCAGAATGCAAGAAACTTGAAGAAGATTGGCATGAGGAGTTTTAATAATCTTCCCAAACTACGCTACCTGTATGTAAATGATAATATCTTTCAAAGATGCTCAACTTATTATTTTGCAGACTATTTACTTGATTGAAAAGGCTATTTATTTCAAATTTCCAGGAGCATCTCCAATACAGGCCTAACTGTGTTTCCGGATTTAACATCTATCAGGTCTTTGGAGTCTGCGTTCATTTTGTAAGTTTCACATATACTGTAACATAAATGTGCATTTTTAACATATTGTATTATATGAATATGTGGCTCTTCTTAATAACAGAGATATATATGACAACCTCCAAATCAAGCAAATACCTCCAAATGCTTTTAATGGCATCACAAAGACTACATAACAATGTAAGTGTAACTTTATTTTAAAGCTTTGTATGATCCAGTACAATCAGGCTCTTATACCGGTCATATCTTTTTTCAGGAACTTATATAATAATGGATTCAGAGAGATACACAGTCATGCCTTCAACCAGACAAAGATAGCAAAGCTGTATTTTCATTTTTGTGTAATAAATATTTCAAGTTCAGGGTTACCTCCAATGCTTAATCTTCTCTTCATGTGACATTTAGAATGCTGAAAAAAAATCGTAACCTCAGACTGATCCAACAAGATGCCTTCACAGGAGCCACTGATCTTGGCGTCTTGTGGGTTAAATCACTGCTGACTTCAGTGACTTAAGTGTTACAAACATACAATGACACTGTTTTATCTTTTTACCAGAGATGTGTCGTTCACTGCTATTACCACATTACCCTCACATGGGCTCGACTCGCTTCGAGAGCTGGTGGCTGAATCAGTATATTCATTAAAGACACTTCCTCTGTGGCATGGGCTCAGAAACCTGCGAAAAGCTCAGCTCACCTACAACAGTCACTGCTGTTCTCTTCTCAGTGAGAGTCAAAACAGGTACAGGTACAAGAGACACTGGCAAAGTGGTTAATGTCCCTGCATTTGAAATGGTAGTTTTCAGTCAGATCCTCAGACTGGTTCTCTCTCAATGTCAGTGTGTTTGCATTAGAGCACTGTAACTCATTTTATAAATATTTGTCTATAATTTATTATATGGGATGGAACTTTCAGGCTGAAAAACAACTTTTCCTATAGGCATATTTAACGCAGCCTGAACCCTGGACAACAAAAGATACAACACCCAACAGTAGTGTACATGAAATGTAATAACCAATATTTTCTTTATTTTTCAAGGAATACAGCCACAAATCAGAAATGGAAAAACATGTCTACATTCTGTGATGAGCTCAACCTGTTTGCAAGGTCAGCAATCCTAGGTTAAATCATTTTGTCAACTTGTTTTTTCAATATGCACAATTGCCCTACTCTATCTCAAGATTTGTAAAAACATCTTAAATCTAACTTTATTAATATTACTTATTGAAACAGGCCACAACGTGTCACCGGAGCTTATGATTCCAGCCATGTTGTGGACATGCCAACCAGTTCAGATCCTCTACAGTACAGTAACTATGGCTCAGACTATGATTTACATTCACATTACCCAGAGCTGGAACTGTGTTGGAAAAGCCCATCTCTCATCTGCACTCCTGAGGCTGATGCTTTTAACCTCTGTGAGGACATCACTGGCTTCAGTTTCCTTCGCGTTGCCATTTGGTTCATCAGCATTTTGGCCATCACCGGAAACGTCACTGTTCTTCTTGTCTTCTTCTTCAGCCCCAACAAACTAACCGTGCCACGCTTTCTTATGTGCCATCTTGCATTTGCTGATCTGTGCATTGGAGTATACCTGCTCATGATAGCATCAGTGGACTTAAGGACTCGTGGGAACTATAGTCAGCATGCTATTGAGTGGCAGACTGGGCCAGGGTGCAGTGTGGCTGGGTTCCTGTCTGTTTTGGAGGAGAATTGTCAGTTTATACTCTTGCTAGTATCACAATGGAGCGATGGCATACTATTACAAATGCCTTACAAGTGGAGTGTCATCTTGGTCTAAAACAAGCTGCCAGTATAATGGTAGCAGGTTGGGTTGTCTGTTTGGCAATGGGTATCCTGCCTCTAATTGGAGTGAGTAGTTACGGTAAAGTTAGTGTGTGTCTACCAATGGATATAGAAACCTCTTTAGCACAAGCTTTTGTCATTGTTATGCTTTTATTAAATGTTTCTGCATTCTGCCTTGTATGTATCTGTTATGTTCTGATCTTCCTGGCTGTGAAGAACCCAGAGTTACCAAGACGTAATGCAGACACGAGGATAGCTAAGCGAATGGCCATCCTAATTTTCACTGATTTTCTCTGCATGGCGCCAATATCTTTCTTTGCGATCTCGGCTGCTTTTAAGATCCCACTCATAACAGTAACCAACTCCAAAATCCTCCTTGTACTATTCTTTCCTATAAACTCATGTGCCAATCCATTTCTCTATGCCATATTCACCAAAGCATTCAGGAAGGATGCATGTCTTCTGTTGAGTACAATGGGATGTTTTAAAGGTGATGCCAACAGATGTCGCAGTGAAGCCTACTCTGAAAATATAGCCAGTAAAAAGGTGAAAGTCCAGAAATCTGATGTCAAAAATTAGTTTCATATTTGCCACATTATGAACCAGTTAGTTAAATAAATAATGTAATACAGATACCTTATTCAAAAGGAGATTTTATTGATGCAAAAAAATACTGTCATTCATTATTGTAAACAGTTGAATTCTATCGTCTTAAATAATTTGTCACTACAACTAACCACAAGGGGGCAGCATTCAGATATCAGAGGTGTACTCCAGCAGCAGGAGATGGAATGACATAAAAATAAAGTTAAAGTTGAGTTAAAAGAACTGATCTGCGTGCCTTCTTATGACACGAAATGTAACTTTGGTTTGATCATAGTATCAGGAAGGTAAGTTTTTTTTTTTTTTGTGCAAGTGTAATCCAAATTAAAAACCATAAAATACCATAAAACTACTTTAACATTTTTGTCTGCGGGCTAGTGTATATTAATCATTATAGATCCATGATATTAACACACAATAGTAAACCTTCATTTTGTTCCCGAACAGTCCCGCCTTCGTGGGATCCTCGTGTCGCGTGACGTGTAAATGTTTTTTTATTTTTTTTTTTACCCTCTCTCCTCGCCGCAGCAGCAGCAGTCAGACCCTGATCTTTGGTCAACTTTGGAGCGAGTCGGTGTGGGATGGTCGCTCGTCACAGTTGGAGGAGGAGTGGTTAAGTCTGGTCTTGTTTGCTCTCACTCTGAAAGCTGAAATCAAAGTTTATTGTTTGTAAACTCATCTTCTTGGACTGTCGCTGGATCCAGAGCTCTACACGCGGATTGCAGAGTGCTGGTCATGGCACAGCTGCCCGTCCCGAGCCGTTTTACGCTTCTCCTTCACACCGCGTTAGTGGCCATTCTCCTGGGCACTTGTGCGACCAATGGTAAGTTTGTTTTCTTTCTCCTCTCCCCCTTTGAGGCGCATTCCTCTGGACAGGCTCTGTGTCAGTCATCTGCTGCTGGAGTTAATTAGACTCTACATCAAGTTTAATAGGTTTTTCTTATGGAAATTTTTACAGACATTTATAGACTTAAGACAGTAGAGCTGCTGTTTACAGGAATGCAATCAAACTCGTTGAAGCTGTCAAAAATATTATGTTAGGCTTTTTTAGGCTTCTTGTTATTTAGTCTCAGCATGTTTTAATATTTTATTCTTGCATACTTTATTTCATGGTATTGACTGGGTTAATTTACTTAGACTTACTTCGACTCATTTTGATTTGGAGTGTTTACTACCTTAAGCGCTTGTGTCTGTCTCTGCCCACTCCATCTCTGTTAGTTTTAAGTGACCCCTGTCAACAGGATTGAAGAATGTTGAGAATGTTGGTCTACAGTGGGCCTGGGCCAGGTCCATATAGACCTGTACTTGATTGAAGAACTGTTCAGTCTAAAGATGTTTTTGCTGTTGGATCATTTGCTTAAAGGAGGAGAGGGGGAGTTTGTGACATAAAATAGGATGGACTGGAAGAGAATAAACAGGAGAAATAATAAGACAGGTCCCTGATGTAATAACACATTTTTGGAGTGAGACGTACACAGGAGACAGTGGCCATAAGGTCAGTTGTTTGACCATCGTTTTGACCAAGCATATGCCAGGTGGCATCTTAATTTTTTGCATCTTTGGGCAAAACATTTCACCCACATTGCTTCTATGTGATTTTAGTGTGAGGTGTGGTGGCATTGGTGGTGTTGCAGACTGGGAACCTTGCTTATGTCAGCCTTTGCTTAGAAGAGCAACAGCAATTGGGTGATATTTTATTGCTTCATAGAGCCACTTAGAAAACTCTGTATTTGGTCATATAGCACAACAGAATGACCGCCAGTGATGAACATAGTTATATTTGACAGTGTAACTTTTCACTTCTCTGTTTGGCCCAGGCCGCCCCTCAGTGAGGCGCTTTCACCGTCTCACCAGGACGTCAGAGCCTCCGGTGAGAGCGGGGCAGGTCTCTCAGGTGTATCTGACCCCAGAGCAACTGCGGAAGCTGCATTTCAAACCCACTGTGGGCTCCATCCGCCTCTCAGAGGGACATGAGGCCATGTTCAACTGCTCCATCGAAGTCCCAGACCCCCGACTAGAGCCCATCATCAACTGGATCAAGAACGGACAGGAGCTAGTCTCAAACTCCCACCTGGTCAACAATGATCTGCAGACAGTCACCGATGGCGTCACTACTCTGCTCTCTACCATCAAGTAAACAACACACAATGCACTAAGCATTTACAAAGTAGAGCAATATATTATAGTACATGCAATATGGGTATTATGTTATTATAGCATCACCAGCTACAGTGGCCATGTTGTAGAGCTGTTAACCTACAAACCACAAGGTTAGAAGCTCTAACCCAGCTTCTACAAGAAGATACTGACATAAAAGTTACATCAAAATAATATATTTTAAAACATTTTTCATTCATTTTTTATGTTTTCTTAGTACCTGAGCTAGTTTTGGTATTATCTCTGATTTCATTTTGTAGAATACAACAAGTGCAGAGAGCAGATACTGGTGAATATCGATGTAGACTGAGCATCATGAATTCACTGGTTGAATCTCAGCCAATCATCATTGAAGTGGAAGGTAAGGATCAATATACAAAATACAATATTGGTGGTATATTGTATAGACAGATTTTTAATGTGTGTCTTAACTGTCTTTAGGTTTGCCCACATTCATACAGCAGCCAGAGGACAGAAATGTGACGAAAAACACTCCCTTCACCTTGTCCTGTGAGGCAGTGGGACCTCCTGGTCCAGTACAGATTCGCTGGCTCCGTGACGGGTCTCCTGACAGCGACTTTCTCAACTCCCCCAGCAGCTACTCTGTGTCAGGTAAGGCCGCAGGAACCTTGAGTTCTTCCTTTTAAATGGCACGATCCCACATGGGCAGTTCTTCTCATTGTCCAGACATATTTACCTTGCCTAAAGGCTTTTTTGGTGGTTTCTATTCTGCCCGTTTGTGCTGCCTCAGCGTGTGTCCTTTGCTTACTACAATGTAATTTATTACGTATAGCTTCTTGCATTCCCATAAGGTCATTCATGGTCATTAAGCTTTGTTACACAAATCTTAAACTAGTTAATTATTGCACAGGTAAATACTCAACTAATAATTAGTAAAATATTGTTTTTTGTACAAGTCTACTTGAGATGTAGATTGGCGTAGCATTGCTAGACATTGGAAAAGACATCTAAGATAAACAGGGTAACTCCTTCCTGCACAAACTGAATACTGTGAATGCATTAGGGCATAAATGTTTTCCTAAGATTTGGATTCGGAGTGGTTTGTGCCCCTGTTCTATGCACACAGGGCTCACACTTTATAGTTTTTATAATGTTTGCACAGTATGAAAATTAAGATAATATTTACTGTATTTCATTAATCTTTGAATGGTCTGCTGTTATTCTTAGACAGATAAACTTTGATCCTTTCTTTGCTCCCATTTATCACTTTCAAACCATCATAGACAAACCTCTCCCCCCTCAGCAGTGTGCAATAAAACAGCCTGGAGCTCATGGGTTAAAGGTTTATTGTCATGCGTCAGGCCTGGACTAGTGTGGGGACAGGGGCAGCACTGGGAGCCTGCTCGGGGGTTGGATCGGGGGACAAAGGCTTCTTTGATGGGACGTCCCACACAGGCCAGCAGGGAGGGGACAGGGTGCAGGCCACCAGAGCTCAGTGCATGATTTCAACATTGGCACCACAGTAAAGCCAGTCTTTGCGTAAATAGCTATTGAACAGAGTTTTTTATAACACACTGGAAAAACTGGAGTTAAAGGATTGTGCATTTTCTTACATAATTCCTTCAAGCATAAGTTCGCAAATCAGTGAAAATGTTTAAAAACACAGGAATAGTAATATAGGTATATTATTTAATATTTTGAACAAAAAATACATTTGAATTGTTCTGTGTTGTAACCTAGATAAGAATAATTCCTGTCTTCATTTACTGCACATAAATGTTTTGGTTTTCTGGAGCTTCTCCAAACCTCGTAATTACAGACTCCAGAATTTCAGAATTCAGGCTGCAGGACATTTTGCTGAAACTCACAGTTTACAAAACAATTCATCTTTTCTGTTTTGGTTTTAGATGTAATTTAAGACAAAATTTCAAGAACAAGCAAAGCAAAGGCCATAACCTTATTTCATTTCCTTTTTTATCAGTAATGAACCTTTATTTGAGTTCACTGTGCTGTGGGTCTTCAAAGAAAACCACTTGTGTGGTATAATTTGCTCTGAGTTGCTGATTACTAACACATCATGTTAAACACAAATCTTGAACATTGTTCCTAAACCATAATGACAACATCTTTTTGGAGGGTATTTTACTAGAAATTAAATACATACTTGAAATATATTTTATTCAAACTCAACTGGCAGATCCAAACAATTAAGCACCAAATTTGTATAGTTTCCACTCACACAGCTGTTGGCCAAGCATTTCCAATACCAGCTTGTGTGTATTAAATTTTCACACCTTCTCCACAATCATATGGTGTGCATTATGACATGTCTCAGACTATACCCTCATGTATATTTTAAAGACTGTATTATTTGATCATGTAGTAGATCATGTAGTATGTCATAAATATCCGAAGAATGTAAACAAAACATGACAGATTGGTTTCAGCCATTACTGACAGGCTTGTTGTGGTCCACTTTGAGTTTCCGACATCTGAAAAAAAAAGAGACACGGACAATGAGATCTTTATGTGGCAGCTGTTCCTGTCTTGTTGTGCATAGATCTGTCCCTGGTTGAGAGACAGGATTGTCCAGGCAGAAAAACAAACTGTAAGAATATGTTAAAAATTACACTGAATTTGAATATGAATTTTGATACATACTTATGTTATGTCTCTCTACTCTGCCTTGAATGTTGCAAAAGTTGACCTTTACAGTAGTGTGTGGTGGCTATAATCTTGCAAACTTGTTTTCTTTTCAATACCAGATGTCCTGAGTTTGGGTCTCGCACATTATATTTTTTGGATTATTTAACTTGATGTTTATAACTTTCTTGTGTCTAATTACAGGTGTTGACAGA